CCTCGGGATAGAGTCATCATGTTGGGTGACTTCAATGCCCGAGTTGGTCATGATACTGGCACCTGGCCTGGAGTGATTGGAGGGCATGGGCCAGATCAGCTCAATAACAACGGTAGGAGGCTGCTAGATTTTTGTGCAGCCCATGGGCTTGTAATTACCAACACGCTGTTCCGGCATCGGCGCATCCACACAACATCATGGATGCATGCCGGGTCCAAGCAAGAACATCTGCTGGACTACATAGTGACGGACCAGCGAATGCGAGCCCATGTCCTTGACACCAGGACCTACCGTGGAGCTGATCTGCCCTCTGACCATCGACTAGTCATCTGTAAGATGCGCCTGCCATTCTTCCACTCCGGTGGTGGGTGTACACCCAGGACCCCATTCCAACCTAAAGTGGCCTGGTCTCAGTTATCTGATGAAAGTTGCAAGCGAGAATTTCATCATCGCTTGCGGCTGGGATTGGCATCGTCCCCGACTCCTCCTGATGTCGAGGGTAAATGGGCGAGGTTTAGGACTGTGACTCATGCAGCTGCAATGGCTGCTTTGGGTACGCGGTCCAGACCTCCCCAGACACCCTGGATGACAGAGGAGTTGTTCACGATGGTTGAGAAAAAGCGACAGGCCCACTGTCATCGGCTACAGAGTCCCACGTCAGAGAATGAGGAGGCTTACCGCAGCCTTCGCTCGGAGGTTCGGAGAGCCGTGAGGCGCTGCAAGGATGGGTGGTGGTCGCGGGTTGCTGAGGAGATGGAGTCTGCCTCAGTGGCCCGTGATCACAAATCTCTATTTAACTCCATCAAAAAAGTAACCTGCAGCGCCACACCTATTACCATCATTAGGGGAAAAAACGGCGATCCAATTTCCGACCCCCGGGAACAGGTTCGCAGATTTGCTGAGCATTTCTGTGAGGTCCTGGGGGAGGGAAAATCCCTCAGCCAGGAAAACATCGTGGCACAAAGTGAGGATGACCCTGCTGAGGCTGCGGTGCCTCAAATATTGGATGAAGTCACCCCCTGTGAGTGGCTGGCTGAGGTGCCATCTGCTGAGGAAGTATTGAAGGCGATCCGGAGTCTGAGACCAGGAAAGGCAGCGGGCAGAGATGATCTCCCAAGCGAAATGCTGAGGGAGGGTGGCGTTTGTGCACAGACTGCCCTATATGACATCATAACAACAGTCTGGACCACTGGACGGGTTCCGCAGGATTGGAAGGATGCCCTGGTGGTCCCCCTTTTTAAGAAGGGGGACCGCACAGACTGTAACAACTACAGGGGCATCTCACTCCTCAGTGTGCCGGGAAAGGTCCTGGCAAGGATTATTCAGCATCGCCTTGCCAGGCACGCTGAGGAGAGGCTTGCGGAGCCCCAATGCGGTTTCAGGAAAGGGCGGTCCTGCACAGATGCCATATTTTCTGTCCGTCTGCTACAGCAGAGGTGTAGGGAATTCCAACAAGACCTACATCTCTGCTTTATTGACCTGGTCAAGGCCTATGATACCATCAGTAGGCCTGGGCTCTGGGTCGTTCTTCGTGCTTTTGGAGTACCTGACCCTCTGCTCACGATCATTAAGGACCTTCATGATGGTGAGCGGGCCCGGGTAAAACTACGTGGCCGGGAGTCAGAGCCATTCCCTGTACACCTTGGGGTGCGACAGGGATGTCCTCTGGCTCCCACATTATTTAACATCTATTTTGACCACGTAGTTCGTGAAGCCTTCAATAGCTGTACCGGGGGAATCTCCATATGGTACAGATATAATGGGAGGCTAATCGATGCCCGGGTGCGGTCAAGGGATGGCTCCCTATTGCTCAACCACGTTATGTATGCTGATGACTTGGTAATAGCTGCTCAGTCAGAGGAGGAGTTGGAGACGCTGCTGCTGAGACTGGAGCATGCCACTAAGAGGTGGGGCCTTACCATCAGCCCCACCAAAACCAAGCACCTGCCTGGGTATTTTGTACCATCGGACACCCCACCCCCACAACTCCCAATCGGTGATGGGGCAGTTGTGGAGAGAGTGGAGAGTTTCCCATACCTGGGCAGTGTGCTTATGACTGGCACCAGTTTAACCGCAGAGGTCTCACTCCGAATCAGTCGAGCGGCAATATCTTTTCATCGGTTGCGTAACGCTGTGTGGAAGCTACCTGGTCTGTCGCTCCGCACTAAGCTTCAGGTCTTCTCGGCCACGGTCATTCCCTCCCTTCTCTACGCTTGCGAAACGTGGACCCCCCTAATGGAACATCTTCGCCGGTTAGAAACATTTAGGCTGGCCTGCCTACGATCCATCCTGGGTTTAACCAGACTGGATTGTGTGAGGAGCTCACAAATCCTTGAAAGATCTGGGCAGGGTCCCATCGGTGAGCTCCTCCGGCAGGCAAGGCTGCGATGGCTGGGTCATGTAGCCCGCATGCCCAGCCACCGCATGCCGAAACAGCTTTTGTTTGGCCGGATTGAGGGGGCTAAGCGGGCGCGGCACGGGCTAGAGAAGAGATGGAGTGATGTGGTACAGGAGGACGTGGAGCTGAGTGGACTTGCCGATGACTGGTACCAGCGGTGTCAAGATCGGCCTCTGTGGAGGAGGCTCGTGAAGGATGCTACTGGGCAGTTGGAGGCAGTCGCCCTCCTACAACAACGGAGGGCGGAGGAGCGACGCTCACAACAGCGAGCGGAGCGCCGGGTGGCTAAAGCACAGCAGGTTGGCACAGTAGGGGGCACAGGTGGTGCATCAGCCAGTCATCTCAGTCAGTCGACCCGTGGCACCTGGGTCTGCCCCGTGACCTCCTGCCAGCGGGCGTTCGACACTTCACGTGGCCTCAGGGTGCACATAGCCTGGCACAAGCGTCGTGGTGACGTCACCGCCACTTAGTGGCGAATGGCGGTTGTTGTTGTTGTTGTTGTGTGACACACTGTGTAAGTGTGTGTAGGTGTAGGTGTGTAAGTATAATACCCACCACCTTCCCTACGGTACTCCAGGTGGTATCTGTGTGTGTGTGTCACACTGTGTAAGTGTGTAAGTGTGACACTGTGTAAGTATAAGTGTAAGACCCACCACCTTCCCTACGGTACTCCAGGTGGTATCTGTGTGTGTGACACACTGTGTAAGTGTGTGTGTGTTACTGTGTGTGTGACACACTGTGTAAGTGTGACACTGTGTAAGTATAAGTGTAAGACCCACCACCTTCCCTACGGTACTCCAGGTGGTATCTGTGTGTGTGACACACTGTGTAAGTGTGTGTGTGTTACTGTGTGTGTGACACACTGTGTAAGTGTGACACTGTGTAAGTATAAGTGTAAGACCCACCACCTTCCCTACGGTACTCCAGGTGGTATCTGTGTGTGTGACACACTGTGTAAGTGTGTGTGTGTTACTGTGTGTGTGACACACTGTGTAAGTGTGACACTGTGTAAGTATAAGTGTAAGACCCACCACCTTCCCTACGGTACTCCAGGTGGTATCTGTGTGTGTGTGTGTCACACAGTGTAAGTGTGTGTGTTACTGTGTGTGTGTAAGTGTAGGTGTACAAGTGTAAGACCCACCACCTTCCCTACGGTACTCCAGGTGGTATCTGTGTGTGTGTGTCACACAGTGTAAGTGTGTGTGTTACTGTGTGTGTGTAAGTGTAGGTGTACAAGTGTAAGACCCACCACCTTCCCTACGGTACTCCAGGTGGTATCTGTGTGTGTGACACACTGTGTAAGTGTGTGTGTGTTACTGTGTGTGTGACACACTGTGTAAGTGTGTGTAAGTGTAGGTGTAAGTGTATAATACCCACCACCTTCCCTACGGTACTCCAGGTGGTATCTGTGTGTGTGTGACACACTGTGTAAGTGTGTGTAAGTGTCACAGTGTGTGTAAGTGTAGGTGTATAAGTAATACCCACCACCTTCCCTACGGTACTCCAGGTGGTATCTGTGTGTGTGTGACACAGTGTGTAAGTGTGTGTAGGTGTAGGTGTAAGTGTGTGTGTGTAGGTGTAAGTGTATAATACCCACCACCTTCCCTACGGTACTCCAGGTGGTATCAGTGTGTAAGTGTGTAAGTGTAAGTGTGTGTAAGTGTGTGTAAGTGTAGGTGTAAGTGTAAGTGTGATACCCACCACCTTCCCTACGGTACTCCAGGTGGTATCAGTGTGTAAGTGTGTAAGTGTAAGTGTGTGTAAGTGTGTGTAAGTGTAAGTGTAATACCCACCACCTTCCCTACGGTACTCCAGGTGGTATCTGTGTGTGTGTGTGTAAGTGTGTAAAGTGTATAAGTGTGTAAGTGTAAGTGTAATACCCACCACCTTCCCTACGGTACTCCAGGTGGTATCTGTGTGTGTGACACACTGTGTAAGTGTGTAAGTGTAAGTGTATAAGTGTGTAAGTGTAAGTGTGTGATACCTACCACCTTCCCTACGGTACTCCAGGTGGTATCTGTGTGTGTGTGTCACACTGTGTAAGTGTGTGTAGGTGTAAGTGTGTAAGTGTAGGTGTATAAGTAAGACCCACCACCTTCCCTACGGTACTCCAGGTGGTATCCGTGTGTGTGTGTGTGTAAGTGTAAGTGTGTGTAAGTGTCACAGTGTGTGTAAGTGTAGGTGTATAAGACCCACCACCTTCCCTACGGTACTCCAGGTGGTATCTGTGTGTGTGTGTGTAAGTGTAAGTGTGTGTAAGTGTAAGTGTGACACTGTGTAAGTATAAGTATAATACCCACCACCTTCCCTACGGTACTCCAGGTGGTATCTGTGTGTGTGTGACACAGTGTGTAAGTGTGTAAGTGTGACACTGTGTAAGTACAAGTGTAAGACCCACCACCTTCCCTACGGTACTCCAGGTGGTATCCGTGTGTGTGTGTGTGTAAGTGTAAGTGTGTGTAAGTGTCACAGTGTGTGTAAGTGTAGGTGTATAAGACCCACCACCTTCCCTACGGTACTCCAGGTGGTATCTGTGTGTGTGTAAGTGTAAGTGTGTGTAAGTGTAAGTGTGACACTGTGTAAGTATAAGTATAATACCCACCACCTTCCCTACGGTACTCCAGGTGGTATCCGTCGATGCCGCCGGCCCCGCCCCTCTCGGGAGGTCTCCACCTGAGGGTGACTGTGGAGTCGGTCACCGCCTCCACAGTCACGTGGCTCGGGGGGCCCGGGGGGGCTGGGGGGGGGAGGGGGGGGAGAGGGGGGGGAGGGGGGGGGGAGGGGGGGGGGAGAGGGGAGGGGGGGAGAGAGGGGGGGAGAGGGATGGGGGGGAGAGGGGAGAGGGGGGGAGAGGGGAGGGGGGAGAGGGGGGTAGAGAGAGGGGAGGGGGGATGGGGGGGTCACAGGGGTCACAGGGGGGTCACGAGGGTCGGGATTAGGTGGGGAGGTCACGGTGGGTGTTGTAGTGTAGGTGTTGTGGTGTAGGTGTTGTGGTGTAGGTGTTGTGGTGTAGGTGTTGTGGTGTAGGTGTTGTGGTGTAGGTGTTGTAGGTGTTGTGGTGTAGGTGTTGTGGTGTAGGTGTTGTGGTGTAGGTGTTGTAGGTGTTGTGGTGTAGGTGTTGTGGTGTAGGTGTTGTAGGTGTAGGTGTTGTGGTGTAGGTGTTGTGGTGTAGGTGTTGTGGTGTAGGTGTTGTGGTGTAGGTGTTGTGATGTTGTGGTGTAGGTGTTGTGGTGTAGGTGTTGTGGTGTAGGTGTTGTGGTGTAGGTGTTGTGGTGTAGGTGTTGTAGGTGTAGGTGTTGTGGTGTAGGTGTTGTGGTGTAGGTGTTGTGGTGTAGGTGCTGTGGTGTAGGTGTTGTGGTGTAGGTGTTGTGGTGTAGGTGTTGTGGTGTAGGTGTTGTGGTGTAGGTGTTGTGGTGTAGGTGGTGTAGGTGTTGTAGTGTAGGTGTTGTAGGTGGTGTAGGTGTTGTGGTGTAGGTGTTGTGGTGTAGGTGGTGTAGGTGTTGTGGTGTAGGTGTTGTGGTGTAGGTGATGTGGTGTAGGTGTTGTAGGTGTTGTGGTGTAGGTGTTGTAGTGTAGGTGTTGTGGTGTAGGTGTTGTGGTGTAGGTGTTGTGGTGTAGGTGGTGTAGGTGTTGTAGTGTAGGTGTTGTAGTGTAGGTGTTGTGGTGTAGGTGGTGTAGGTGTTGTAGTGTAGGTGTTGTAGTGTAGGTGTTGTGGTGTAGGTGTTGTGGTGTAGGTGTTGTGGTGTAGGTCTTGTGGTGTAGGTGTTGTAGTCTAGGTGTTGTGGTGTAGGTGTTGTAGTGTAGGTGTTGTGGTGTAGGTGTTGTAGGTGTTGTGGTGTAGGTGTTGTGGTGTAGGTGTTGTGGTGTAGGTGGTGTAGGTGTTGTGGTGTAGGTGTTGTGTTGTGATGTAGGTGTTGTGGTGTAGGTGTTGTGGTGTAGGTGTTGTGGTGTAGGTGTTGTAGGTGTAGTGGTGTAGGTGTTGTGGTGTAGGTGTTGTGGTGTAGGTGTTGTAGTGTAGGTGTTGTGGTGTAGGTGTTGTAGTGTAGGTGTTGTGGTGTAGGTGTTGTGGTGTAGGTGTTGTGGTGTAGGTGTTGTGGTGTAGGTGTTGTAGTGTAGGTGTTGTGGTGTAGGTGTTGTGGTGTAGGTGTTGTAGTGTAGGTGTTGTAGTGTAGGTGTTGTGGTGTAGGTGTTGTGGTGTAGGTGTTGTGGTGTAGGTGTTGTGGTGTAGGTGTTGTGGTGTAGGTGTTGTGGTGTAGGTGTTGTGGTGTAGGTGTTGTGGTGTAGGTGTTGTGGTGTAGGTGTTGTGGTGTAGGTGGTGTAGGTGTTGTAGTGTAGGTGTTGTAGTGTAGGTGTTGTAGGTGTTGTTGTGTAGGTGTTGTGGTGTAGGTGGTGTAGGTGTTGTGGTGTAGGTGTTGTGGTGTAGGTGTTGTGGTGTAGGTGTTGTAGGTGTTGTGGTGTAGGTGTTGTAGTGTAGGTGTTGTGGTGTAGGTGTTGTGGTGTAGGTGTTGTGGTGTAGGTGGTGCAGGTGTTGTAGTGTAGGTGTTGTAGTGTAGGTGTTGTGGTGTAGGTGGTGTAGGTGTTGTAGTGTAGGTGTTGTAGTGTAGGTGTTGTGGTGTAGGTGTTGTGGTGTAGGTGTTGTGGTGTAGGTGTTGTGGTGTAGGTGTTGTAGTCTAGGTGTTGTGGTGTAGGTGTTGTAGTATAGGTGTTGTGGTGTAGGTGTTGTGGTGTAGGTGTTGTGGTGTAGGTGTTGTGGTGTAGGTGGTGTAGGTGTTGTGGTGTAGGTGTTGTGTTGTGGTGTAGGTGTTGTGGTGTAGGTGTTGTGGTGTAGGTGTTGTGGTGTAGGTGTTGTAGGTGTTGTAGGTGTTGTGGTGTAGGTGTTGTGGTGTAGGTGTTGTGGTGTAGGTGTTGTGGTGTAGGTGTTGTGGTGTAGGTGTTGTGGTGTAGGTGTTGTGGTGTAGGTGTTGTGGTGTAGGTGTTGTGGTGTAGGTGTTGTGGTGTAGGTGTTGTGGTGTAGGTGGTGTAGGTGTTGTAGTGTAGGTGTTGTAGTGTAGGTGTTGTAGGTGTTGTGGTGTAGGTGTTGTGGTGTAGGTGGTGTAGGTGTTGTGGTGTAGGGGTTGTGGTGTAGGTGTTGTGGTGTAGGTGTTGTAGGTGTTGTGGTGTAGGTGTTGTAGTGTAGGTGTTGTGGTGTAGGTGTTGTGGTGTAGGTGTTGTGGTGTAGGTGGTGCAGGTGTTGTAGTGTAGATGTTGTAGTGTAGGTGTTGTGGTGTAGGTGGTGTAGGTGTTGTAGTGTAGGTGTTGTAGTGTAGGTGTTGTGGTGTAGGTGTTGTGGTGTAGGTGTTGTGGTGTAGGTGTTGTGGTGTAGGTGTTGTAGTCTAGGTGTTGTGGTGTAGGTGTTGTAGTATAGGTGTTGTGGTGTAGGTGTTGTAGGTGTTGTGGTGTAGGTGTTGTGGTGTAGGTGTTGTGGTGTAGGTGGTGTAGGTGTTGTGGTGTAGGTGTTGTGTTGTGATGTAGGTGTTGTGGTGTAGGTGTTGTGGTGTAGGTGTTGTGGTGTAGGTGTTGTAGGTGTAGTGGTGTAGGTGTTGTGGTGTAGGTGTTGTGGTGTAGGTGTTGTAGTGTAGGTGTTGTGTTGTAGGTGTTGTAGTGTAGGTGTTGTGGTGTAGGTGTTGTGGTGTAGGTGTTGTGGTGTAGGTGCTGTGGTGTAGGTGTTGTAGTCTAGGTGTTGTGGTGTAGGTGTTAGTGTAGGTGTTGTGGTGTAGGTGTTGTGGTGTAGGTGTTGTGGTGTAGGTGTTGTGGTGTAGGTGGTGTAGGTGTTGTGGTGTAGGTGTTGTGTTGTGATGTAGGTGTTGTGGTGTAGTTGGTGTAGGTGTTGTGTTGTGGTGTAGGTGTAGGTGTTGTGGTGTAGGTGTTGTGGTGTAAGTGTTGTGGTGTAGGTGTTGTGGTGTAGGTGTTGTAGGTGTTGTGGTGTAGGTGTTGTGGTGTAGGTGTTGTGGTGTACGTGTTGTGGTGTAGGTGTTGTAGGTGTTGTGGTGTAGGTGTTGTGGTGTAGGTGTTGTGGTGTAGGTGTTGTGTTGTGATGTAGGTGTTGTGGTGTAGGTGGTGTAGGTGTTGTGTTGTGGTGTAGGTGTTGTGGTGTAGGTGTTGTGGTGTAAGTGTTGTGGTGTAGGTGTTGTGGTGTAGGTGTTGTAGGTGTTGTGGTGTACGTGTTGTGGTGTAGGTGTTGTGATGTAGGTGTTGTGGTGTAGGTGTTGTAGGTGTTGTGGTGTAGGTGTTGTGGTGTAGGTGTTGTGGTGTAGGTGTTGTGGTGTAGGTGTTATGGTGTAGGTGTTGTGGTGTAGGTGTTGTAGTGTAGGTGTTGTGGTGTAGGTGTTGTGGTGTAGGTGTTGTGGTGTAAGTGTTGTGGTGTAGGTGTTGTAGGTGTTGTGGTGTAGGTGTTGTGGTGTAGGTGTTGTGGTGTAGGTGTTGTGGTGTAGGTGTTGTGGTGTAGGTGTTGTGGTGTAGGTGGTGTAGGTGTTGTAGGTGTTGTGGTGTAGGTGTTGTGGTGTAGGTGTTGTGGTGTAGGTGTTGTAGTGTAGGTGTTGTGGTGTAGGTGTTGTGCTGTGGTGTAGGTGTTGTGTTGTGATGTAGGTGGTGTAGGTGTTGTGTTGTGGTGTAGGTGTTGTAGTGTAGGTGTTATAGTGTAGGTGTTGTAGTGTAGGTGTTGTGGTGTAGGTGTTGTGGTGTAGGTGTTGTGCTGTAGGTGTTGTGGTGTAGGTGTTGTGGTGTAGGTGTTGTGTTGTGATGTAGGTGTTGTGGTGTAGGTGTTGTGATGTAGGTGTTGTGGTGTAGGTGTTGTGGTGTAGGTGTTGTGGTGTAGGTGGTGTAGGTGTTGTGGTGTAGGTGTTGTAGTGTAGGTGTTGTGGTGTAGGTGTTGTGCTGTGGTGTAGGTGTTGTGTTGTGATGTAGGTGGTGTAGGTGTTGTGGTGTAGGTGTTGTGGTGTAGGTGTTGTAGTGTAGGTGTTGTAGTGTGGTGTTGTGGTGTAGGTGTTGTAGGTGTTGAGGTGTAGGTGTTGTGGTGTAGGTGGTGTGGTGTAGGTGTTGTAGTGTAGCTGTTGTGGTGTAGGTGTTGTAGTGTAGGTGTTGTGGTGTAGGTGTTGTGGTGTAGGTGTTGTGCTGTGGTGTAGGTGTTGTGGTGTAGGTGTTGTGGTGTAGGTGTTGTAGTGTGGTGTTGTGGTGTAGGTGTTGTGGTGTAGGTGTTGTGGTGTAGGTGTTGTGCTGTGGTGTAGGTGTTGTGGTGTAGGTGTTGTAGTGTAGGTGTTGTAGTGTAGGTGTTGTAGTGTAGGTGTTGTGGTGTAGGTGTTGTGGTGTAGGTGTTGTGCTGTGGTGTAGGTGTTGTGTTGTGATGTAGGTGTTGTGGTGTAGGTGTTGTGGTGTAGGTGTTGTGGTGTAGGTGGTGTAGGTGTTGTGGTGTAGGTGTTGTAGTGTAGGTGTTGTGGTGTAGGTGTTGTGCTGTGGTGTAGGTGTTGTGTTGTGATGTAGGTGGTGTAGGTGTTGTGTTGTGGTGTAGGTGTTGTGGTGTAGGTGTTGTAGTGTAGGTGTTGTAGTGTGGTGTTGTGGTGTAGGTGTTGTAGGTGTTGAGGTGTAGGTGTTGTGGTGTAGGTGTTGTGGTGTAGGTGTTGTAGTGTAGGTGTTGTAGTGTAGGTGTTGTGCTGTGGTGTAGGTGTTGTGGTGTTGTGGTGTAGGTGTTGTAGGTGTTGTGGTGTAGGTGTTGTGGTGTAGATGGTGTGGTGTAGGTGTTGTAGTGTAGGTGTTGTATTGTATTGTGTTGTGTTGTTGTGTTATGCTCTGGGTGTTGTGTTGTGTTGTTGTGTTGTATTGTATTGTGTTGTATTGTATTGTGTTGTTGTATTGTGTTGTATTGTGTTGTGTTGTTGTATTGTGTTGTTGTTGTGTTGTCGTGTTGTGCTCTGGGTGTTGTGTTGTTGTGTTGTCGTGTTGTGTTGTTGTGTTGTGTTGTTGTGTTGTGTTGTTGTGTTGTGTTGTTGTGTTGTGTTGTTGTGTTGTGCTCTGGGTGTTGTGTTGTAGGTGTAGGTGTTGTGTTGTGTTGTCGTGTTGTATTGTGTTGTGTTGTATTTTTGTGGTGTAGGTGTTGTATTGTGTTGTGTTGTCGTGTTGTGCTCTGGGTGTTGTGTTGTCGTGTTGTCGTGTTGTGCTCTGGGTGTTGTGTTGTTGTGTTGTGTTGTTGTGTTGTCGTGTTGTGCTCTGGGTGTTGTGTTGTTGTGTTGTCGTGTTGTGCTCTGGGTGTTGTGTTGTCGTGTTGTCGTGTTGTGCTCTGGGTGTTGTGTTGTATTGTGTTGTCGTGTTGTGCTCTGGGTGTTGTGTTGTCGTGTTGTGCTCTGGGTGTTGTGGCCGTCCGCGTCTCACCCAGCGGCACGAATGTCCGTGACGGCTCCCCGGGCAGCGAGGTGCCCACGGGGTTGACGGCGCACACCCGGATCTGGTAGGCGACCCCCTCCACCATGCGCTCACACCGCATGGACGACTCGGCCCAGGGACGAACGTTCAGCTTCATCCAGCGGCGACTCGAGAGCTTCTTACGCTCCACCACGTAGCCTGCAAGCGGTGGTGAGCGGTGGTGAGTGGTGGTGGTGAGGGGTGGTGGTGAGGGGTGGTGGTGAGGGGTGGCGGTGAGGGGTGGTGGTGAGGGGTGGCGGTGAGGGGTGGTGGTGAGCGGTGGTGGTGAGGGGTGGTGGTGAGGGGTGGTGGTGAGGGGTGGTGGTGAGGGGTGGTGGTGAGGGGTGGTGGTGAGGGGTGGCGGTGAGGGGTGGTGGTGAGGGGTGGTGGTGAGGGGAGAAGGGCAGCCGCTCACCACCCCGCTCACTAGCCCTCACTCAGTCACTGATTCAGTCAGTCAGTCACTCAGTCAGTCGGTCAGTCAGTCACTCAGTCAGTCACTCAGTTACTCAGTCACTCAGTCACTCACTCACTCAGTCAGCCACTCAGTCAGTCACTCAGTCAGTCACTCAGTCAGTCAGTCACTCAGTCAGTCACTGATTCAGTCAGTCAGTCACTCAGTCACTCACTCAGTCACTCAGTCAGTCACTCACTCAGTCACTCACTCAGTCACTCAGTCAGTCACTCAGTCAGTCACTCACTCAGTCACTCACTCAGTCACTCAGTCAGTCAGTCAGTCAGTCAGTCACTCAGTCAGTCACTCAGTCAGTCAGTCAGTCACTCACTCAGTCACTCAGTCAGTCACTCAGTCAGTCACTCAGTCACTCAGTCAGTCACTCAGTCAGTCACTCAGTCAGTCAGTCAGTCACTCAGTCACTCACTCGGTCAGTCACTCAGTCACTCAGTCAGTCACTCAGTCAGTCACTCAGTCAGTCAGTCAGTCACTCAGTCACTCACTCGGTCAGTCACTCAGTCAGTCACTCAGTCAATCACTCAGTCACTCACTCAGTCACTCGGTCAGTCACTCAGTCAGTCACTCAGTCAGTCACTCAGTCACTCACTCAGTCACTCGGTCAGTCACTCAGTCAGTCACTCAGTCAGTCACTCAGTCAGTCACTCAGTCAATCACTCAGTCACTCACTCAGTCACTCGGTCAGTCACTCGGTCAGTCACTCAGTCAGTCACTCAGTCAGTCACTCACTCAGTCACTCAGTCAGTCACTCAGTCACTCACTCAGTCAGTCGGTCAGTCACTCAGTCACTCAGTCAGTCACTCAGTCACTCAGTCAGTCACTCAGTCACTCAGTCACTCACTCAGTCAGTCGGTCAGTCACTCAGTCACTCAGTCAATCACTCAGTCACTCACTCAGTCACTCAGTCACTCAGTCAGTCACTCACTCAGTCACTCAGTCACTCAGTCAGTCACTCAGTCAGTCACTCAGTCACTCAGTCACTCACTCAGTCAGTCGGTCAGTCACTCAGTCACTCAGTCACTCAGTCAGTCACTCACTCAGTCAGTCACTCAGTCACTCAGTCACTCAGTCAGTCACTCAGTCACTCAGTCACTCACTCAGTCACTCAGTCACTCAGTCAGTCGGTCAGTCACTCAGTCACTCAGTCAGTCACTCAGTCACTCAGTCACTCACTCAGTCACTCAGTCAGTCACTCAGTCACTCAGTCAGTCACTCAGTCACTCACTCAGTCAGTCGGTCAGTCACTCAGTCAGTCACTCAGTCACTCAGTCACTCAGTCACTCAGTCAGTCACTCAGTCACTCAGTCACTCACTCAGTCACTCAGTCAGTCACTCAGTCACTCAGTCAGTCGGTCAGTCACTCAGTCACTCAGTCAGTCACTCAGTCACTCAGTCACTCAGTCAGTCACTCAGTCACTCAGTCACTCACTCAGTCAGTCGGTCAGTCACTCAGTCAGTCACTCAGTCACTCAGTCACTCAGTCAGTCACTCAGTCACTCAGTCACTCACTCAGTCAGTCACTCAGTCACTCAGTCACTCACTCAGTCACTCAGTCAGTCACTCAGTCACTCAGTCAGTCACTCAGTCACTCACTCAGTCGGTCAGTCACTCAGTCAGTCACTCAGTCACTCAGTCAGTCGGTCAGTCACTCAGTCACTCAGTCAGTCACTCAGTCACTCAGTCACTCAGTCAGTCACTCAGTCACTCACTCAGTCACTCAGTCAGTCACTCAGTCACTCAGTCAGTCAATCAGTCGCTCAGTCAGTCACTCAGTCACTCACTCAGTCAGTCACTCACTCAGTCACTCAGTCAGTCACTCAGTCACTCACTCAGTCACTCAGTCAGTCACTCAGTCACTCACTCAGTCAGTCACTCAGTCACTCAGTCAGTCGCTCAGTCAGTCAGTCACTCAGTCACTCACTCAGTCAGTCACTCAGTCACTCAGTCAGTCGGTCAGTCACTCAGTCAGTCACTCAGTCAGTCACTCAGTCACTCACTCAGTCACTCGGTCAGTCACTCAGTCAGTCACTCAGTCAGTCACTCAGTCAGTCACTCAGTCAATCACTCAGTCACTCACTCAGTCACTCGGTCAGTCACTCAGTCAGTCACTCAGTCAGTCACTCACTCAGTCACTCAGTCAGTCACTCAGTCACTCACTCAGTCAGTCACTCAGTCACTCAGTCAGTCACTCAGTCCCTCAGTCACTCACTCAGTCAGTCGGTCAGTCACTCAGTCACTCAGTCAATCACTCAGTCACTCACTCAGTCACTCAGTCACTCAGTCAGTCACTCACTCAGTCACTCAGTCACTCAGTCAGTCACTCAGTCAGTCACTCAGTCACTCAGTCACTCACTCAGTCAGTCGGTCAGTCACTCAGTCAGTCACTCAGTCACTCAGTCACTCAGTCAGTCACTCAGTCACTCAGTCACTCACTCAGTCACTCAGTCAGTCACTCAGTCACTCAGTCAGTCGGTCAGTCACTCAGTCACTCAGTCAGTCACTCAGTCACTCAGTCACTCACTCAGTCACTCAGTCAGTCACTCAGTCACTCAGTCAGTCACTCAGTCACTCAGTCAGTCACTCAGTCACTCACTCAGTCAGTCGGTCAGTCACTCAGTCACTCAGTCAGTCACTCAGTCACTCAGTCACTCACTCAGTCACTCAGTCAGTCACTCAGTCACTCAGTCAGTCGGTCAGTCACTCAGTCACTCAGTCAGTCACTCAGTCACTCAGTCAGTCACTCAGTCACTCACTCAGTCAGTCGGTCAGTCACTCAGTCAGTCACTCAGTCACTCAGTCACTCAGTCAGTCACTCAGTCACTCAGTCACTCACTCAGTCAGTCACTCAGTCACTCAGTCACTCACTCAGTCACTCAGTCAGTCACTCAGTCACTCAGTCAGTCACTCAGTCACTCACTCAGTCAGTCGGTCAGTCACTCAGTCAGTCACTCAGTCACTCAGTCAGTCGGTCAGTCACTCAGTCAGTCACTCAGTCACTCAGTCACTCAGTCAGTCACTCAGTCACTCAGTCACTCACTCAGTCACTCAGTCAGTCACTCAGTCACTCAGTCAGTCAGTCAGTCGCTCAGTCAGTCACTCAGTCACTCACTCAGTCAGTCACTCACTCAGTCACTCAGTCACTCAGTCAGTCACTCAGTCACTCAGTCAGTCACTCAGTCAGTCACTCAGTCACTCACTCAGTCAGTCACTCAGTCACTCAGTCAGTCGCTCAGTCAGTTACTCAGTCAGTCAGTCACTCAGTCACTCACTCAGTCAGTCACTCAGTCACTCAGTCAGTCGGTCAGTCACTCAGTCACTCACCCACCCCCCACTCACTCACCCCCCCCACTCACCCCCCACCCACCCCACCCACCCACCCCCCCCCCCACTCACCCCCCCCCCCACCCACCCCCCCCCCACCCCCCACTCACCCCCCCCCCCACTCACCCACCCCCCCCCACCCACCCCCCCCCCCACTCACCCCCCACCCCCCACCCACCCCCCCCACCCACCCAGCAGGGCAGCCCCTCCGTTGTAGTGAGGGGGCTCCCACGTGGCCGTGCAGACGTCATCACCTACGTCACTGATGGTGGGGGCCGAGGGGGGGTCCGGGATGTCTACACAACAACAACATCAACAACAACAACATTAACATTAACAATAACATTAACAACATTAACAACACTAACATCATTAACAACAACATCAACAACATTAACAACATTAACAACAACAACATCAACAACAACATCAACAACATCAACAACATCATCAACAACATCAACAACAACAACATCAACATCAACAACAACAACATCAACAACAACATCAACAACATCAACAACATCAACAACAACATCAACATCAACAACAACATCAACAACAACATCAACAACATCAACATCAACAACATCATTAACAACAATATCAACAACAACATTAACAACAAAAACATCAACAACATTAACATCAACCATGGACAACCACCATTAACAACTACAACAACTACAACAACAACTACAACAACAACAACCACAACAACACCCACAACCATTAACAACAACCATACAAAACAACCACAACCATTAGCAACCACAACCATTAACCACTACAACCACTACAACAACTACAACAACCACAACAACACCCACAACCATTAACAACAACAACCATACAAAACAACCACAACCATTAACAACCACAACCATTAACAACCACACCACTACAACAACTACAACAACCACAACAACACCCACAACCATTAACAACAACCATACAAAACAACCACAACCATTAACAACCACAACCATTAACCACTACAACCACTACAACAACTACAACAACCACAACAACACCCACAACCATTAACAACAACCATACAAAACAACCACAACCATTAACAACCACAACCATTAACCACTACAACAACTACAACAACCACAACAACACCCACAACCATTAACAACAACCATACAAAACAACCACAACCATTAACAACCACAACCATTAACAACCACACCCACTACAACAACTACAACAACCACAACAACACCCACAACCATTAACAACAACAACAACAACCATTATCACTTTGAACGTTGTGAGTGTTACTAATGATGATGGTGGTGGTGATGATGATGGTGATGACGGTGATGATGATGATGGTGGTGGTGATGATGATGATGGTAGCGGTAGTGATGGTGATGATGGTGGTGGTGGTGATGATGATGATGATGGTGGTGGTGATGGTGACATTTATGGTGGTGGTGGTGATGGTGGTGGTGGTGATGGTGGTAGTGGTGGTGGGGGTGATGGTGGTAGTGATGGTGGTGATGTTGGTGATGGTGGTGATGGTGGTAGTGATGGTGATGATGGTGGTGGTGATGGTGACATTGATGGTGGTGATGATGATGATGGTGGTGGTGGTGATGGTGGTGGTGATGGTGGCATTGATGGTGGTGATAATGATGATGATGGTGTTGATGGTGGTAGTGATGGTGGTGATGCCGGACGGGCAACTCTGTCGTGGACAGCGCTGTGGGGGGAGATCCAATTTTGATTGGCTCCTCCCCTCATGGCATATGTGTCCACCACAGGGGCTAAACGGGGGCTCTGGACGGGTGCGAGGGGCTGGTAACCCCTCCACCTTCAATTAATTACCACTAAACCACGAGTTAAACTGAAATATGTAACAACTAAGCTTGTGCCGGAGGCCCCGGGGGGCCAGGCGTCTATGACGTCTCCTGGCCAAACCCCAATTGGCGGAGCCAGGAGATTGAATACCTACCCTCGGGGCTACTCCAGAAACAACGAAAAGCCACTACGGGTGGCCACGTGGAATGTTCGAACGCTCACTGCAGAGGAGAGGCTGCCACTCCTCTGTCGGGAGCTGGACCAGTACCGCCTGGATCTATGCGGCATTCAGGAGGTCCGGTGGACCGGCTCTGGCTCCTGCCACCATGAGGGGTGGACAGTCCTCTACTCGGGGCAGCAGACTGCCAAACAACAGGGTGTGGGTCTTCTTTTGAACAAAAGAATGAAGGGGGCGTGGGAGCGTGGCGGTGAGGTGTGGGAAGCTGTAAGCCCCAGGCTACTTTGGGCTCGCCTTCCCATCAACCGGAGGCGAGGAATGGTGGTCGTGGTTACTTATGCCCCCACCGAAGATGAACATCCGTGGAGGGATGCAGGCAAAGCCGATGAGTCAGATGCCTTCTATGACCTCCTGTCACAGGTGCTGGCTAAAGTGGCCCCTCGGGATAGAGTCATGATGTTGGGTGACTTCAATGCCCGAGTTGGTCATGATACTGGCACCTGGTCTGGAGGGATTGGAGGGCATGGGCCAGATCAGCTCAATAACAACGGTAGGAGGCTGCTAGATTTTTGTGCAGCCCATGGGCTTGTAATTACCAACACGCTGTTCCGGCATCGGCGCATCCACACAACATCATGGATGCATGCCGGGTCCAAGCAAGAACATCTGCTGGACTACATAGTGACGGACCAGCGAATGCGAGCCCATGTCCTTGACACCAGGACCTACCGTGGAGCTGATCTGCCCTCTGACCATCGACTAGTCATCTGTAAGATGCGCCTGCCATTCTTCCACTCCGGTGGTGGGTGTACACCCAGGACCCCATTCCAACCTAAAGTGGCCTGGTCTCAGTTATCTGATGAAAGTTGCAAGCGAGAATTTCATCATCGCTTGCGGCTGGGATTGGCATCGTCCCCGACTCCTCCTGATGTCGAGGGTAAATGGGCGAGGTTTAGGACTGTGACTCATGCAGCTGCAATGGCTGCTTTGGGTACGCGGTCCAGACCTCCCCAGACACCCTGGATGACAGAGGAGTTGTTCAGGATGGTTGAGAAAAAGCGACAGGCCCACTGTCATCGGCTACAGAATCCCACGTCAGAGAATGAGGAGGCTTACCGCAAATCTCGCTCGGAGGTTTGGAGAGCCGTGAGGCGCTGCAAGGATGGGTGGTGATCGCGGGTTGCTGAGGAGATGGAGTCTGCCTCAGTGGCCCGTGATCACAAATCTCTATTTAACTCCATCAAAAAAGTAACCTGCAGCGCCACACCTATTACCATCATTAGGGGAAAAAACGGTGATCCAATTTCCGACCCCCAGGAACAGGTTCGCAGATTTGCTGAGCATTTCTGTGAGGTCCTGGGGGAGGGAAAATCCCTCAGCCAGAAAAACACCGTGGCACAAAGTGAGGATGACCCTGCTGAGGCTGCGGTGCCTCAAATATTGGATGAAGTCACCCCCTGTGAGTGGCTGGCTGAGGTGCCATCTGCTGAGGAAGTATTGAAGGCGATCCGGAGTCTGAGACCAGGAAAGGCAGCGGGCAGAGATGATCTCCCAAGCGAAATGCTGAGGGAGGGTGGCGTTTGTGCACAGACTGCCCTATATGACATCATAACAACGGTCTGGACCACTGGACGGGTTCCACAGGATTGGAAGGATGCCCTGGTGGTCCCCCTTTTTAAGAAGGGGGACCGCACAGACTGTAACAACTACAGGGGCATCTCACTCCTCAGTGTGCCGGGAAAGGTCCTGGCAAGGATTATTCAGCATCGCTTTGCCAGGCACGCTGAGGAGAGGCTTGCGGAGCCCCAATGCGGTTTCAGGAAAGGGCGGTCCTGCACAGATGCCATATTTTCTGTCCGTCTGCTACAGCAGAGGTGTAGGGAATTCCAACAAGACCTACATCTCTGCTTTATTGACCTGGTCAAGGCCTATGATACCATCAGTAGGCCTGGGCTCTGGGTCGTTTTTCGTGCTTTTGGAGTACCTGACCCTCTGCTCACGATCATTAAGGACCTTCATGATGGTGAGCGGGCCCGGGTAAAACTACGTGGCCGGGAGTCAGAGCCATTCCCTGTACACCTTGGGGTGCGACAGGGATGTCCTCTGGCTCCCACATTATTTAACATCTATTTTGACCACGTAGTTCGTGAAGCCTTCAATAGCTGTACCGGGGGAATCTCCATATGGTACAGATATAATGGGAGGCTAATCGATGCCCGGGTGCGGTCAAGGGATGGCTCCCTATTGCTCAACCACGTTATGTATGCTGATGACTTGGTAATAGCTGCTCAGTCAGAGGAGGAGTTGGAGACGCTGCTGCTGAGACTGGAGCGTGCCACTAAGAGGTGGGGCCTTACCATCAGCCCCACCAAAACTAAGCACCTGCCTGGGTATTTTGTACCATCGGACACTCCACCCCCACAACTCCCAATCGGTGATGGGGCAGTTGTGGAGAGAGTGGAGAGTTTCCCATACCTGGGCAGTGTGCTTATGACTGGCTCCAGTTTAACAGCAGAGGTCTCACTCCGAATCAGTCGAGCGGCAATATCTTTTCATCGGTTGCGTAACGCTGTGTGGAAGCTACCTGGTCTGTCGCTCCGCACTAAGCTTCAGGTCTTCTCGGCCACGGTCATTCCCTCCCTTCTCTACGCTTGCGAAACGTGGACCCCCCTAATGGAACATCTTCGCCGGTTAGAAACATTTAGGCTGGCCTGCCTACGATCCATCCTGGGTTTAACCAGACTGGATTGTGTGAGGAGCTCACAAATCCTTGAAAGATCTGGGCAGGGTCCCATCGGTGAGCTCCTCCGGCAGGCAAGGCTGCGATGGCTGGGTCATGTAGCCCGCATGCCCAGCCACCGCATGCCGAAACAGCTTTTGTTTGGCCGGATTGAGGGGGCTAAGCGGGCGCGGCACGGGCTAGAGAAGAGATGGAGTGATGTGGTACAGGAGGACGTGGAGCTGAGTGGACTTGCCGATGACTGGTACCAGCGGTGTCAAGATCGGCCTCTGTGGAGGAGGCTCGTGAAGGATGCTACTGGGCAGTTGGAGGCAGTCGCCCTCCAACAACAACGGAGGGCGGAGGAGCGACGCTCACAACAGCGAGCGGAGCGCCGGGTGGCTAAAGCACAGCAGGTTGGCACAGTAGGGGGCACAGGTGGTGCATCAGCCAGTCATCTCAGTCAGTCGACCCGTGGCACCTGGGTCTGCCCCGTGACCACCTGCCAGCGGGCGTTCGACACTTCACGTGGCCTCAGGGTGCACATAGCCTGGCACAAGCGTCGTGGTGACGTCACCGCCACTTAGTGGCGAATGGCGGTTGTTGTTGTTGTTGTTGTTGATGTTGGTGGTGATGTTGGTGATGATGGTGTTGATGGTGGTAATGGTGGTGATGGTGTTGGTGGTGATGTTGGTGGTGATGGTGGTGGTGGTGGTGGTCATGTTGGTGATGTTTGTGGTGATGGTGATGGTGGTAGTGATGTTGGTGATGATGGTAGTGATGGTGGTGATGGTGGTGGTGATGGTGACATTGATGATGGTGATGTTGGTGATGGTGATGGTGGTGTTGATGTTGGTGATGGTGATGGTGGTAGTGATGGTGGTGATGATGGTGATGGTGGTAGTGGTGGTGGGGGTGATGGTGGTAGTGCTGGTGATGATGGTGGTGATGGTGATGGTGGTGATGTTGGTGGTGGTGGTGTTGATGGTGGTGGTGGTGATGGTGGTGGTGATGGTGACATTGATGTTGGTGGTGATGATGGTGATGGTGGTGGTGGTGATGGTGTTGATGGTGATGTTGGTGGTGGTGATGGTAGTGATGTTGGTGATGGTGGTGTTGATGGTGGTGGTGATGGCATCACGTGCCCAGCACGGTGATGGTGATGTCGGCCGAGTCGACACCAGCAGGGTTATCAACAGCGATGGCGTATCGTCCTCCATCGCCTCGCTCGGCACCCTGAAGGGTCAGAGCTGACCCTCCCGTGTAGCTCCTCACCATCACACGGCCCTCACCACTCGCCATTACCTACATCACCAACATCACCACCACCAACATCACCAACATCATCAACATCACCACCACCAACATCACCAACATCATCAACATCATCGTCCTCCATCGCCTCGCTCGGCACCCTGCAGGGTCAGAGCTGACCCTCCCGTGTAGCTCCTCACCATCACACGGCCTTCACCGCTCGCCATCACCTAGCTCCTCACCATCACACGGCCTTCACCGCTCGCCATCACCTACATCACCAACATCACCATCACCAACATCACCAACATCACCACCATCACCATCATCACCAACATCACCACCACCAACATCACCAACATCATCAACATCATCTTCCTCCATCGCCTCGCTCGGCACCCTGCAGGGTCAGAGCTGACCCTCCCGTGTAGCTCCTCACCATCACACGGCCCTCACCACTCGCCATCACCAACATCACCAACATCACCACCATCAACATCATCACCAACATCACCAACATCACCACCATCACGACCATCACCAGCATCATCATCACCAACATCACCAACATCACCACCATCACCACCATCACCAACATCATCATCAACATCATCAACATCATCATCATCACTACCATCAACATCGCCAGGGTGAGGGAGGAATCTCCTGGATAGCTCCTCACCATCACGCGGCCTTCACCACTCGACATCACCTACATCACCAACATCACCATCAACATCATCAACAACATCAACGTCACCATCATCAACATCATCATCAACATCATCATCAACATCAACAACATCACCAACATCACCACCACCATCACCATCATCAACATCATCACTACCATCAACATCGCCTACATCGATGAAAGATGATGTTGTTGATGATGGTGATGGTGGTGATGTTGATGATGATGTTGATGATGTTGTTGATGTTGATGATGTTGATGATGTTGATGATAATGATGATGTTGATGATGATGATGATATTGATGATGATGTTGATGATGATGATATTGATGTTGATGATGTTGATGTTGATGATGATGTTGTTGATGTTGATGATGATGATATTGATGTTGATGATGTTGATGTTGATGATGATGATGATATTGATGTTGATGATGTTGATGTTGATGATAATGATGTTGTTGATGTTGATGATATTGATGTTGATGATGATGATATTGATGTTGATGATGTTGATGTTGATGATGATGTTGTTGATGTTGATGATATTGATGTTGATGATGTTGATGTTGATGATGATGATGATGTTGATGATGATGATGATGTTGTTGATGCTGATGATGATGATGATGTTGATGATGATATTGATGATGTTGATGTTGATGATGATGTTGTTGATGATGTTGTTGATGATGTTGATGATGATGTCACTCACCTCACCCTCCTTGTACCAGGTCACCGTGGGCTCCGGATCTCCAGTCACCGGCACGTCCAGCCTCAGCTTGTTGCCGGCGATCACAACGATCGCGTTGTCAAGCATCTTGTTCCGGCAGTCCAGGTGGATCTTGGGGGGCACTGGGGAGGGAGGCGGGCCACGGCGAGGTCACATAGGTCACGGGAGGTCACTGGTTACGCAGAGAGGTCACTGGTTACACAGAGAGGTCACTGGTCACGCAGAGAGGTCACTGGTCACGCAGAGAGGTCACAGGTTATGCAGAGAGGTCACTGGTCATGCAGAAAGGTCACTGGACAGGCAGAGAGGTCACTGGTTACGCAGAGAGGTCACTGGTTACACATAGAGGTCACAGGTTACACAGAGAGGTCACAGGTTACACAGAGAGGTCACGAGAGGTCACAGGTTATACAGAGAGGTCACTGGTCACGCAGAGAGGTCACTGGTCACGCAGAGAGGTCACTGGTCATGCAGAGAGGTCACTGGTTCCACAGAGAGGTCACAGGTTCCACAGATAGGTCACAGGTTACACAGAGAGGTCACGAGAGGTCACAGGTTATAAAGAGAGGTCACAGGTTACGTAGAGAGGTCACTGGTCACGCAGAGAGGTCACAGGTTACGCAGAGAGGTCACAAGTTACGCAGAGAGGTCATAGGTTACGCAGAGAGGTCGCTGGTTACAAAGAGAGGTCACAGGTTACACAGAGAGGTCACAAGTTACGCAGAGAGGTCACAGGTTACACAGAGAGGTCACTGGTTACAAAGAGAGGTCACTGGTTACATAGAGAGGTCACAGGTTACACAGAGAGGTCACAGGTTACACAGAGAGGTCACAGGTTACACAGAGAGGTCACGAGAGGTCACAGGTTATACAGAGAGGTCACTGGTCACGCAGAGAGGTCACTGGTCACGCAGAGAGGTCACAAGTTACGCAGAGAGGTCACTGGTCATGCAGAGAGGTCACTGGTTACACAGAGAGGTCACAGGTTCCACAGATAGGTCACAGGTTACACAGAGAGGTCACGAGAGGTCACAGGTTATACAGAGAGGTCACAGGTTATGTAGAGAGGTCACTGGTCACGCAGAGAGGTCACAGGTTACGCAGAGAGGTCACTGGTTACGCAGAGAGGTCACAGGTTACACGGAGAGGTCACAGGTTACACAAAGAGGTCACTGGTTATATATAGAGGTCACAGGTTACACAGAGAGGTCACAGGTTACACAGAGAGGTCACAGGTTACGCAGAGAGGTCACAGGTTATACAGAGGGGTCACAGGTTATACAGAGAGTTCACGAGAGTTCACAGGTTATACAGAGAGGTCACTGGTCATGCAGATAGGTCACTGGTCACGCAGATAGGTCACTGGTCACGCAGAGAGGTCACTGGTCACGCAGATAGGTCACAGGTTAAGCAGATAGGTCACAGGTTACGCAGAGAGGTCACTGGTCATGCAGAAAGGTCACTGGACAGGCAGAGAGGTCACTGGTCACGCAGAGAGGTCACAGGTTACACAGAGAGGTCACAGGTTACACAGAGGGTCACTGGTTACACAGAGAGGTCACAGGTTACGCAGAGAGGTCACAGGTTATGCAGAGAGGTCACTGGTTATATAGAGAGGTCACAGGTTATGCAGAGAGGTCACTGGTCACGCAGAGAGGTCACAGGTTACACAGAGAGGTCACAGGTTACACAGAGGGTCACTGGTTACACAGAGAGGTCACAGGTTACACGGAGAGGTCACAGGTTACGCAGAGAGGTCACAGGTTATGCAGAGAGGTCACAGGTCACACAGAGAGGTCACAGGTTACACAGAGAGGTCACTGGTTATATAAAGAGGTCACAGGTCACGCAGAGAGGTCACAGGTTATGCAGAGAGGTCACAGGTTACACAGAGAGGTCACAGGTTACACAGAGAGGTCACTGGTTATATAAAGAGGTCACAGGTCACGCAGAGAGGTCACAGGTTACGCAGAGAGGTCACTAGAGGTCACAGTGGTGAGTGAGTGGTGAGACAATGCTCACCTTGGCGTGGTACAAACTGCACCTTCACTTCTGCAAAACATCAACAACATCATCATCATTACCATCAACATCATCACCATCATCACCATCACCACCATCACCATCATCAACATCGCCATCATCATCATCATCATCAACATCACCATCAACATCACCGTGGTCCTCATCACCATCACCATAGATTCCCACTCAGGGTCTACATTGGTTCTGGGCTTCCCCTAGGTCGACTCAGCCTCAAACGAGGAGCTGTTGTGTGTTGAACATCGCCGTAGGGGAGACAAAGGCGGCCGTGGCAGCGTGATTCTGAGCACACTTGCCCCAAATGTCTGCCTGGGCTACCCGGGGGAGCTTTGTCTTTGTGTGCGAGTGTGGGTGAGTGGGGGGTGGGGGTCAGTGAGTGGGTGAGTGGGGGGTGGGGGTGAGTGGGTGAGTGGGTGGGTGAGTGGGTGAGTGAGTGAGTGGGTGGGTGAGTGGGTGAGTGAGTGGGTGAGTGGGTGGGTGAGTGGGTGGGTGGGTGAGTGGGTGAGTGGGTGAGTGAGTGGGTGATTGAGTGAGTGGGTGAGTGAGTGGGTGAGTGGGTGGGTGGGTGAGTGGGTGAGTGGGTGAGTGAGTGGGTGGATGGGTGAGTCGGTGGGTGAGTGGCTGGGTGGGTGGGTGAGTGGGTGGGTGGGTGAGTGGGTGGATGGGTGAGTGAGTGGGTGGGTGAGTGGGTGAGTGGGTGGGTGAGTAGGTGGGTGGGTGAGTGGGGTGAGTGAGTGGGTGGATGGGTGAGTGAGTGAGTGGGTGGGTGAGTCGGTGGGTGAGTGGCTGGGTGGGTGGGTGAGTGGGTGAGTGGGTGGATGGGTGAGTGAGTGGGTGGGTGAGTGGGTGAGTGAGTGGGTGGATGGGTGAGTGAGTTAGTGAATGGGTGGGTGAGTGGGTGGGTGAGTGGGTGAGTGGATGGGTGAGTGAGTGAGTTAATGAGTGGGTGGGTGAGTGGGTGGGTGAGTGGGTGAGTGGGTGGGTGGATGGGTGAGTCGGTGGGTGAGTGGCTGGGTGGGTGGGTGAGTGGGTGGGTGGGTGAGTGGGTGGATGGGTGAGTGAGTGGGTGGGTGAGTGGGTGGGTGAGTAGGTGGGTGGGTGAGTGGGGTGAGTGAGTGGGTGGATGGGTGAGTGAGTGAGTGGGTGGGTGAGTCGGTGGGTGAGTGGCTGGGTGGGTGGGTGAGTGGGTGAGTGGGTGGATGGGTGAGTGAGTGGGTGGGTGAGTGGGTGAGTGAGTGGGTGGATGGGTGAGTGAGTGAGTTAGTGAATGGGTGGGTGAGTGGGTGGGTGAGTGGGTGAGTGGATGGGTGAGTGAGTGAGTTAATGAGTGGGTGGGTGAGTGGGTGGGTGAGTGGGTGAGTGGGTGGGTGAGTGGGTGGGTGAGTGGGTGGGTGAGTGGGTGAGTGAGTGGGTGGATGGGTGAGTGAGTGAGTTAGTGAGTGGGTGGGTGGGTGAGTGAATAGGTGAGTGGGTGGTGAGTGAGTGAGTGAAGGGGTGGGTGAGTGGGTGAGTGAGTGAGTGAGTGGGTGAGAGGGTGAGTTAGTGAGTGGGTGGATGGGTTAGTGAGTGGGTGGATGGGTGAGTGAGTGAGTGAGTGGGTGAGTCAGTGAGTGGGTGGGTGGGTGGGTGAGTGGGTGAGTGGGTGAGTGGGTGGGTGAGTCGGTAAGTGGGTGAGTGGGTGGGTGAGTGGGTGGGTGGTGAGTAGGTGAGTGAGTGGTGAGTGAATAGGTGAGTGGGTGGTGAGTGAGTGAGTGGGTGGGTGGGTGAGTGGGTGGGTGAGTGAGTGGGTGAGTGAGTGAGTGGGTGAGTGAGTGAGTGGGTGAGTGAGTGGGTGAGTGGGTGGGTGGGTGGCTGAGTGATTGAGTGAGTGGGTGAGTGAGTGAGTGGGTGAGTCGGTAAGTGGGTGAGTGGGTGGGTGAGTGGGTGGGTGGTGAGTAGGTGAGTGAGTGGTGAGTGAAATGGTGAGTGGGTGGGTGAGTGAGTGAGTGAGTGGGTGAGTGAGTGGGTGGGTGGGTGCGTGAGTGAGTGAGTGGGTGGATGGGTGAGTGAGTAGGTGGGTGAGTGGGTGAGTGAGTGGGTGAGTGGTAGGTGAGTGAGCGGGTGAGTGGGAGGTGAGTGAGTGGGTGTGTGAGCGAGTGAGTGGGTGAGTGGATTGGTGAGTGGGTGGTGAGTGAATGAGTGGGTGAGTGGATTGGTGAGTGAGTGGGTGTGTGAGCGAGTGAGTGGGTGAGTGGATTGGTGAGTGGGTGGTGAGTGAGTGAGTGGGTGAGTGGATTGGTGAGTGGGTGGTGAGCGGGTGGTGAGCGTACCGATCATGCCCAGCATAGTCGATAGGTACAATGCGTGCCCGTCTGGTATGAAGCTGTAGTCAGCCTCATCGTCTGGCTGCATGTGGTCTATCACCAGCATGTGAACCCTGGGGGTGGGGGGAGGTGAGTGTACAGGTGAGTGTGCAGGTGAGTGTACAGGTGAGTGTACAGGTGAGAGTACAGGTGAGTGTACATGTGGTCTATCACCAGCATGTGAACCCTGGGGGTGGGGAGGTGAGTGTACAGGTGAGTGTACAGGTGAGAGTACAGGTGAGTGTACAGGTGAGTGTGCATGTGGTCGATCACCAGCATGTGAACCCTGGGGGTGGGGGGAGGTGAGTGTACAGGTGAGTGTACAGGTGAGAGTACAGGTGAGTGTACAGGTGAGTGTACAGGTGAGTGTACAGGTGAGTGTACATGTGGTCTATCACCAGCATGTGAACCCTGGGGGTGGGGGGAGGTGAGTGTACAGGTGAGTGTACAGGTGAGTGTACAGGTGAGAGTACAGGTGAGTGTACAGGTGAGTGTACAGGTGAGTGTACAGGTGAGAGTACAGGTGAGTGTGCATGTGGTCTATCACCAGCATGTGAACCCTGGGGGTGGGGGAGGTGAGTGTACAGGTGAGTGTGCAGGTGAGTGTACAGGTGAGTGTACAGGTGAGTGTACAGGTGAGTGTGCAGGTGAGTGTACAGGTGAGTGTACAGGTGAGTGTGCACGTGGTCTATCACCAGCATGTGAACCCTGGGGGTGGGGGGAGGGTGTACAGGTGAGAGTACAGGTGAGAGTACAGGTGAGTGTACAGGTGAGTGTACAGGTGAGTGTACATGTGGTCTATCACCAGCATGTGAACCCTGGGGAGGGGGGAGGTGAGTGTACAGGTGAGTGTACAGGTGAGTGTACAGGTGAGTGTACAGGTGAGTGTACAGGTGAGTGTGGACGTGAGTGTGCACGTGAGTGTACAGGTGAGTGTACAGGTGAGTGTACAGGTGAGAGTACAGGTGAGTGTACAGGTGAGTGTACAGGTGAGTGTACAGGTGAATGTACAGGAGATTGTGCAGGTGAGTGTACAGGTGAGTGTACAGGTGAGTGTACAGGTGAGTGTGCACGTGGTCTATCACCAGCATGTGAACCCTGGGGGTGGGGGGAGGTGAGTGTACAGGTGAGTGTACAGGTGAGTGTGCAGGTGAGAGTACAGGTGAGTGTACAGGTGAGTGTACAGGTGAGTGTGCATGTGGTCTATCACCAGCATGTGAACCCTGGGGAGGGGGGAGGTGAGTGTACAGGTGAGTGTACAGGTGAGAGTACAGGTGAGTGTACAGGTGAGTGTGCAGGTGAGTGTGCATGTGGTCTATCACCAGCATGTGAACCCTGGGGAGGGGGAGGTGAGTGTACAGGTGAGTGTACAGGTGAGTGTACAGGTGAGTGTACAGGTGAGTGTACAGGTGAGGGTACAGGTGAGAGTACAGGTGAGTGTACAGGTGAGTGTGCAGGTGAGTGTACAGGTGAGTGTACAGGTGAGTGTGCACGTGGTCTATCACCAGCATGTGAACCCTGGAGGTGGGGGAGGTGAGTGTACAGGTGAGTGTGCAGGTGAGTGTACAGGTGAGTGTACAGGTGAGTGTACAGGTGAGTGTGCAGGTGAGTGTACAGGTGAGTGTACAGGTGAGTGTGCACGTGGTCTATCACCAGCATGTGAACCCTGGGGGTGGGGGAGGTGAGTGTACAGGTGAGTGTGCAGGTGAGTGTACAGGTGAGTGTACAGGTGAGTGTACAGGTGAGTGTGCAGGTGAGTGTACAGGTGAGTGTACAGGTGAGTGTGCACGTGGTCTATCACCAGCATGTGAACCCTGGGGGTGGGGGGAGGGTGTACAGGTGAGAGTACAGGTGAGTGTACAGGTGAGAGTACAGGTGAGTGTACAGGTGAGTGTACAGGTGAGTGTACATGTGGTCTATCACCAGCATGTGAACCCTGGGGAGGGGGGAGGTGAGTGTACAGGTGAGTGTACAGGTGAGTGTACAGGTGAGTGTACAGGTGAGTGTACAGGTGAGTGTGGACGTGAGTGTGCACGTGAGTGTACAGGTGAGTGTACAGGTGAGTGTACAGGTGAGAGTACAGGTGAGTGTACAGGTGAGTGTACAGGTGAGTGTACAGGTGAGTGTACAGGTGAATGTACAGGAGATTGTGCAGGTGAGTGTACAGGTGAGTGTACAGGTGAGTGTACAGGTGAGTGTGCACGTGGTCTATCACCAGCATGTGAACCCTGGGGGTGGGGGGAGGTGAGTGTACAGGTGAGTGTACAGGTGAGTGTGCAGGTGAGTGTGCAGGTGAGTGTACAGGTGAGTGTACAGGTGGTCTATCACCAGCATGTGAACCCTGGGGGTGGGGGGAGGTGAGTGTACAGGTGAGTGTACAGGTGAGAGTACAGGTGAGTGTACAGGTGAGTGTGCAGGTGAGTGTACAGGTGAGTGTGCATGTGGTCTATCACCAGCATGTGAACCCTGGGGGTGGGGGAGGTGAGTGTACAGGTGAGTGTACAGGTGAGTGTACAGGTGAGTGTGCAGGTGAGTGTACAGGTGAGTGTGCACGTGGTCTATCACCAGCATGTGAACCCTGGGGAGGGGGGAGGTGAGTGTACAGGTGAGTGTACAGGTGAGTGTACAGGTGAGTGTGCATGTGGTCTATCACCAGCATGTGAACCCTGGGGGTGGGGGGAGGTGAGTGTACAGGTGAGTGTACAGGTGAGTGTACAGGTGAGTGTACAGGTGAGTGTACAGGTGAGTGTACAAGTGAGTGAGTGTGCAGGTGAGGGTACAGGTGAGTGTACACGTGAGTGTACAGGTGAGTGTACAGGTGAGTGTACAGGTGAGTGTACAAGTGAGTGAGTGTGCAGGTGAGGGTACAGGTGAGTGTGCACGTGAGTGTACAGGTGAGTGTACACGTGAGAGTACAGGTGAGTGTACAGGTGATAGTACAGGTGAGTGAGTGTGCAGGTGAGGGTACAGGTGAGAGTACAGGTGAGAGTACAGGTGAGAGTACAGGTGAGTGTACAGGTGAATGTACAGGTGAGTGTGCATGTGAGTGTGCAGGTGAGTGTACAGGTGAGTGTACAGGTGAGTGTGTAAGTGAGTGTACACGTGAGTGTACAGGTGAGTGTACAGGTGAGTGTGTAAGTGAGTGTACACGTGAGGGTACAGGTGAGTGTACAGGTGAGTGTACAGGTGAGTGTGCAGGTGATTGTACAGGTGAGTGTACACGTGAGTGTACAGGTGAGTGTACAGGTGAGTGTACAGGTGAGTGTGCAGGTGAGTGTGCACGTGAGTGTACAGGTGAGAGTGCACGTGAGTGTATAGGTGAGTGTACAGGTGAGTGTACAGGTGAGTGTGCACGTGAGTGTACAGGCGAGTGTACAGGTGAGTGTGCAGGTGAGTGTACAGGTGAGTGTACAGGTGAGTGTACAGGTGAGAGTGCACGTGAGTGTATAGGTGAGTGTACAGGTGAGTGTACAGGTGAGTATGCAAGTGAGTGTACAGGTGAGTGTACAGGTGAGTATGCACGTGAGTGTACAGGTGAGTGTACAGGTGAGTGTACAGCTGAGTGTGCAGGTGAGTGTACAGGTGAGTGTGCACGTGAGTGTACAGGTGAGAGTGCACGTGAGTGTATAGGTGAGTGTACAGGTGAGTGTACAGGTGAGTGTGCAGGTGAGTGTACAGGTGAGTGTGCAGGTGAGTGTGCACGTGAGTGTACGGGTGAGTGTACAGGTGAATGTACAGGTGAGTGTATAGGTGAGTGTGCACGTGAGTGTACAGGTGAGTGCACAGGTGAGTGTACAGGTGAGTGTGCAGGTGAGTGTACAGGTGAGTGTGCAGGTGAATGTACAGGTGAGTGTGCAGGTGAGTGTACAGGTGAGTGTGCAGGTGAGTGTACAGGTGAGTGTGCACGTGAGTGTACAGGTGAGTGTGCACGTGAGTGTACAGGTGAGTGTACAGGCGAGTGTGCACGTGAGTGTACGGGTGAGTGTACAGGTGAGTGTACAGGTGAGTGTGCAGGTGAGTGTGCAGGTGAGTGTACAGGCGAGTGTGCAGGTGAGTGTACAGGTGAGTGTGCAGGTGAGTGTACACGTGAGTGTACGGGTGAGTGTACAGGTGAGTGTACAGGTGAATGTACAGGTGAGTGATCCGGTGACCGATCCGGTGACCAAATCGGTGACCAAACCGGTGACCGATCTGGTGACCAAATCGGTGACCGATCTGGTCACCGATCCGGTGACCGATCCGGCGAGAGATCTGGTCACCAATCCGGTGACCAAACCGGTGACCGATCTGGTCACCGATCCGGTGACCGATCCGGTGACCGATCCGGTGACCGATCCGGTGACCAAACCGGTCACCGATCTGGTCACCGATCCGGTGACCGATCCGGTGACCGATCCGGCGAGCCATCCGTGCCTCACCGTCCCTCGTGGCTCACGTGGACTCGCTGGCTCGGCTCCACCGGCTCGCCGTTCTTGATCCACGTGCCGCCCACCGTCTCGTCGGCCACCATGCAGCGGAACACGGCCTGGTCAGAGGCCTTCACCGCCACGTCCGCTACCGCCTCCGACACGTGCTCCTCTACATCATCGCCGCCACCGTCAACAACAACATCACTACCATCAACATCATCACTAACATCAACAACATCACTAACAACAACAACAACATCACTAACATCAACATCATCATCACTAACATCAACATCATCACTAACATCAACATCACTAACATCAACATCATCATCACTACCATCATCACCACCGTCAACAACATCATCATCGCCACCGTCAACAACAACATCACTAACATCAACAACAACATCACTAACAACAACAACAACATCACTAACATCAACATCATCATCACTAACATCAACATCATCACTAACATCAACATCATCATCACTAACATCAACATCATCATCACTACCATCATCACCACCGTCAACAACATCATCATCGCCACCGTCAACAACAACATCACTAACATCAACAACAACATCACTAACAACAACAACAACATCACTAACATCAACATCATCATCACTAACATCAACATCATCATCACTAACATCATCAACATCATCACCACCGTCAACAACATCATCACTACCATCAACATCATCACTAACATCAACATCATCACTAACATCATCACCACCGTCAACAACAACATCAACAACATCAACATCACTAACATCAACATCATCACTAACATCAACATCATCATCACTACCATCATCATCGCCGTCAACAACATCACTAACATCAACAACATCATCACTAACATCAACATCATCATCACTAACATCAACATCATCATCACTACCGTCAACAACATCATCACTACCATCACCATCATCATCACTAACATCAACATCATCATCACTAACATCATCAACATCATCACCACCGTCAACAACATCATCACTACCATCAACATCATCACTAACATCAACATCATCACTAACATCAACATCATCACTAACATCATCATCGTCACTAACATCATCATCATCACTAACAACAACAACATCATCACTAACATCAACATCATCACTAACATCATCGCCACCGTCAACAACAACATCATCATCGCCGTCAACAACATCATCACTAACATCAACATCATCATCACTAACATCATCATCATCACTAACATCAACATCATCATCACTAACATCAACATCATCACTAACATCAACATCATCATCACTAACATCAACATCATCACTACCATCATCGCCACCAACAACATCATCACTACCATCGTCAACAACATCATCACTACCATCGTCAACAACATCATCACTACCATCGTCAACAACATCATCACTACCATCGTCAACAACATCATCACTACCATCGTCAACAACATCATCACTACCATCGTCAACAACATCATCACTACCATCGTCAACAACATCATCACTACCATCGTCAACAACATCATCACTACCATCGTCAACAACATCATCACTACCATCGTCAACAACATCATCACTACCATCGTCAACAACATCATCACTACCATCGTCAACAACATCATCACTACCATCGTCAACAACATCATCACTAACATCATCAACAACATCAATCACTACCATCGTCAACAACATCATCACTACCATCGTCAACAACATCATCACTACCATCGTCAACAACATCATCACTACCATCGTCAACAACATCATCACTACCATCGTCAACAACATCATCGCCACCGTCAACAACATCATCACTACCATCGTCAACAACATCATCACTACCATCGTCAACAACATCATCACTACCACCGTCAACAACATCATCACTACCATCGTCAACAACATCATCACTACCATCGTCAACAACATCATCACTACCACCGTCAACAACATCATCACTACCATCGTCAACAACATCATCACTACCATCGTCAACAACATCATCACTACCATCGTCAACAACATCATCACTACCATCGTCAACAACATCATCACTACCATCGTCAACAACATCATCACTACCATCGTCAACAACATCATCACTACCAACAACATCATCGCCGCCACCGTCAACAACATGACCGTCGCCGTCACCATCATCATCACCATCATCATCGCCACCGTCAACAACATCATCATCACCACCATCAACATCATCACCACCATCACCACCATCATCGCTACCACCACCGTGTCCCCGTGTCTCCCCGTGTGTCCCCATGTCTCTGTGTGTTCCCGTGTCTCCGTGTCTTCCCGTGTCTCTCCGTGTCTCCGTGTCTCCCCGTGTGTCTCCGTGTGTCTCTGTGTGTCCCCGTGTGTCCCCGTGTCTCCGTGTCTCCCCGTGTCTCTCCGTGTGTCTCCCCATGTCTCCGTGTCTCCCCGCGTGTCTCCGTGTGTCTCCGTGTCTCTCCGTGTCTCCCCGTGTCTCTCCGTGTGTCTCCCCATGTCTCCGTGTCTCCCCGTGTGTCCCCGTGTGTCTCCGTGTCTCCTCGTGTCTCTCCGTACCTCCCCGTGTGTCTCCGTGTCTCCCCGTGTCTCACCCTCGACGATGAGGAGACACGCCGTCTCCCCGCCCGTTGTCCGAGCCGTGTATCTCCCCGTGTCTCCCCGTGTGTCTCCGTGTGTCTCCGTGTGTCCCCGTGTGTCCCCGTGTCTCCATGTCTCCCCGTGTGTCTCCATGTCTCCCCGTGTGTCTCCATGTCTCCCCGTGTGTCTCCATGTCTCCCCGTGTGTCTCCATGTCTCCCCGTGTGTCCCCGTGTGTCTCCGTGTCTCCCCGTGTGTCTCCGTATCTCTCCGTGTGTCTCCGTGTCTCACCCTCGACGATGAGGAGACACGCCGTCTCTCCGCCCGTTGTCCGAGCCGTGTATCTCCCCGTGTCTCCCTCCTCGGCGTCCGCGATGACCAACGCGACATGTCTCCCGTCCCTCCGCTCGGAGAGACGGGGACACTTGGACAGACACACCTCCTGTCCGTCCTTCAACCTTCGTCCACGCGGGGTGGAGACACGCGGGGTGAGACACGCGGGGTGAGACACGCGGGGTGGAGACACGCGGGGAGACACACGGGGTGAGACACGCGGGGTGAGACACGCGGGGTGAGACACGCGGGGTGAGACACGTGGGGTGAGACACGCGGGGAGACACGTGGGGTGAGACGGAGGGAGACACGCGGGGTGAGACATGGGGTGAGACAGAGGGAGACACGTGTGGAGACACGCTGGGAGACACGCGGGGTGAGACACGCGGGGTGAGACACGCGGGGTGAGACAAAGGGAGATGCGGGGTGAGACATGGGGTGAGACGGAGGGAGATGTGGGGAGACACGCGAGGAGACACGTGGGATGAGACGGAGGGAGACACGCGGGGTGAGACACGCGGGGAGAGACACGCGGGGTGAGACACGCGGGGTGAGAGACGCGGGGTGAGACACGTGGTGAGACGGAGGGAGATGTGAGGAGACACGCGGGGAGACACGTGGGGTGAGACACGGAGGGAGACACGCGGGGTGAGACGGAGGGAGATGTGGGGAGACACGCGGGGTGAGACATGCAGGGAGACACGCGGGGAGACACGCGGGGTGAGACACGCGGGGTGAGACACGCGGGGTGAGACACGCGGGGTGAGACACGCGGGGTGAGACAAAGGGAGACACGTGGTGTGGAGACAGAGGGAGACACGTGGTGTGGAGACACGCTGGGAGGCTGTGTGTTTACGAGACAGTCTCTACGCTTACAGCTTGGTCGCCATGGTTACCCGTCACCGCTTAGCCTTGCCCCACCCCCATCTCCCCGGTTGCCACGGTGACCCCGTACGTACCCCGTGGGTACCCCCACCCCCCCACCGCGGTCGCCATGGTTACCACTGGACGCTGGCCCCTGACTCCGAGAGCTCACACTCCAGCTCCACCTCCTGTCCGGGCAGCACGCTCTGGTCGTCCAGTGGGGACACCACCCTCACTGGGGGCTCTGCAGGGGTCACGGGGGGTCACAGGGGTCACAGGGGTCACGGGGGTCACGGGGGGTCAGGGGGTCACGGGGGTCACAGGGGTCACGGGGGGCACGGGGGTCACGCTCTGGTCGTCCAGTGGGGACACCACCCTCACTGGGGGCTCTGCAGGGGTCACAGGGGGTCACAGGGGTCACGGGGGTCACAGGGGTCACGGGGGTCATGGGGGTCACGGGGGGTCACGCTCTGGTCGTCCAGTGGGGACACCACCCTCACTGGGGCTCTGCAGGGGTCACAGGGGGTCACAGGGGTCACGGGGGTCAGGGGGGTCACGCTCTGGTCGTCCAGTGGGGACACCACCCTCACTGGGGGCTCTGCAGGGGTCACGGGGGGTCACAGGGGTCACCGGGGTCACGGGGGTCACGGGGGGTCACAGGGGTCACGGGGGGTCACGGGGGTCACGAAGGGTCACAGGGGTCACGGAGGGTCACGCTCTGGTCATCCAGTGGGGACACCACCCTCACTGGGGGCTCTGCAGGGGTCACGGGGGGTCACAGGGGTCACGGGGGTCACGGGGGGTCACAGGGGTCACGGGGGTCACGGGGGTCACGGGGGGTCACAGGAGTCACGGGGGGTCACGCTCTGGTCGTCCAGTGGGGACACCACCCTCACTGGGGGTTCTGCAGGGGTCATGGGGGGTCACGGGGGACACAGAGGTCACGGGGGGTCACGGGGGGGTCACGCTCTGGTCATGCAGTGGGGACACCACCCTCACTGGGGGCTCTGCAGGGGTCACGGGGGGTCACAGGGGTCACGGGGGTCACGGGGGGTCACAGGGGTCACGGGGGGCCACGCTCTGGTCATCCAGTGGGGACACCACCCTCACTGGGGGCTCTGCAGGGGTCACGGGGGGGTCACAGGGGTCACGGGGGGGTCACGCTCTGGTCATCCAGTGGGGACACCACCCTCACTGGGGGCTCTGCAGGGGTAACGGGGGGTCACAGGGGTCACGGGGGTCACGGGGGTCACAGGGGTCGCAGGGGTCACGGGGCTCACAGGGGTCGACGGGGGTCACGGGGGGTCACAGGGGTCACGGGGGTCACAAGGGTCACGGGGGTAATCGGGGTCACGGGGGGTCATCGGGGGCACGGGGGTCACGGGGGTCACGAGGGTCAACGGGGGTCACGGGGGGTCACGCTCTGGTCATGCTGTTCATGGTACTGATGACACTGATGATGGAGATGATGATGCTGATATTGATGCTGATACTGATGATGATACTGACGATGACGATACTGACGATGACGATACTGACGATACTGATGATGATGATGATACTGATGATCGTGATACTGACGATGATGCTGATACTGATGAAACCGATGAAGATGATACTGATGAAGATGATGATACTGATGATGATGATACTGATGATGATGATACTGATGATCGTGATACTGACGATGATGCTGATACTGATGATACTGATGAAGATGATGATGATACTGATGATGATGATGATGACGATGATACTGATGAAGATGATGATCCTGATGATGATGATGATGATCGTGATACTGACGATGATGCTGATACTGATGATACTGATGAAGATGATGATGATACTGATGAAGATGACGATGATACTGATGAAGATGACGATGATACTGATGAAGATGACGATGATACTGATGAAATTGATGATCCTGATGAAGATGATGATGATACTGATGAAGATGATGATCCTAATGATGATGATCCTGATGATGATGATGATACTGATGAAGATGATGACGATGATCCTGATGATGATGATGATGACCATACTGACGCTGTTGTTTACCTTGAACGAAGAGCTCCAAGGAGCAGATCTCATCGCCGATGCGGCACGAGTACTCCGCATCGTCGTCCAAAGACAGCTTGTTAATCACGAGGACGCGCTTGTCCCCCAGAGCCTCCATCATCACTCTGGCGAGGAGGTGCGGCGGAGAGGGCGAAGAGGGTGACGAGGTGCCCGGGGGGAAAGAGGTCAAACAGTTCGGATGTAGTCTTGACGAAGGAGGCAGAGACAGGGAACGCCGCCAACTAACACACGGAGAGGCAACGGCTTCTTCCACCCGATAACCCAGACTAGCAGGGGTCAGCAATCCGTGGCTCGCGATCCAGATGTGGCTCTTTTGATGACTGCATCTGGCTCGCAAGTAGACCTTAGCTGACATTTCTTAACACGATGAGATCAATTTTGATTTGGAGCTATCGTGACTGCAGTAATTCATGTTCTTAGCTCTTTCGGTAAAAGTCACGTTGAAGGGGAAACGATGAAATAATATATAAAACATTATTGTTTTATTTTATTGGTTTATATGTATTTTATTATTTTATTGTTTTATTTTATTGGTTTATATGTATTTTATTATTTTATTGTTTTATTTTATTGTTTTATATGTATTTTATTATTTTATTTTATTGTTTTATATGTATTTTATTATTTTATTGTTTTATTTTATTGTTTTATATGTATTTTATTATTTTATTGTTTATTTTATTGTTTTATATGTATTTTATTATTTTATTGTTTTATTTTATTGTTTTATATGTATTTTATTATTTTATTGTTTTATTTTATTGTTTTATATGTATTTTATTATTTTATTGTTTTATTTTATTGTTTTATATGTATTTTATTGTTTTATTTTATTGTTTTATATGTATTTTATTATTTTATTTTATTGTTTTATATATATTTTATTATTTTATTGTTTCCCTTCAACGTGACTTTTGCCGAAAGAGCTAAGAATACATATGATGAGATAAGTCTTATAGGGCAAGCCTTGTCGCGTTAAGAAATGTCAGCTCAGATGTATTCACGGGCCAGATGCAGTCACCGAAAGAGCCACATCTGGCTCGCGAGCCACAGGATGCTGACCCCTGGCCCTAGAGGATGCCACGTCCTCACACTCAGTGTGATCCCCTTAAACGTGGTATGCTCCGCTTAACGGGTACCGCCAACTGGGCACGTCCGGACCTGGCACTGACAAGGGCCGGAGGATCGGAGGTCACCAGGCGGCAACTATCTCGATGTCTTGAGTCTCGAGGTGAGTGCGGACCGAATCACGCTGGGAGAGCTAAAGCCCTTGATAGTCTTCCTCTCTCACAAGCGTCCTGTCTCTCTCTCTCTCTCTCTTGAGAGAGAGAGAGAGAGACAGGGGGGGTCTGGGTCCAACCGGTGCCCCCCCCCCTAGCCCCCTCCCTCAGTGGCCTCTGGCCCCGTCACCGCTGGTCAACGGGTATTGTAGTCGAGACTCGTACAACACTGCTACGCAGGTAAAGTATTATACATGCTGCGCGTAACAATGCCGCTACATAGACACCAGATGACAACGTGGAGAGAGAGACAGAGAGACACGTGGAGCTAGAGTCTAGACACCAGAGGACAACGTGGAGAGAGAGAGAGACACGTGGAGCTAGAGTCTAGACACCAGATGACAACGTGGAGACAGAGAGACACGTGGAGCTAGAGTCTAGACACTAGATGACATTGTGGAGACAGAGAGACACGTGGAGCTAGAGTCTAGACACTAGATGACAACGTGGAGACAGAGAGACACGTGGAGCTAGAGTCTAGACACCAGATGACAATGTGGAGACAGAGAGACACGTGGAGCTAGAGTCTAGACACTAGATGACATTGTGGAGACAGAGAGACACGTGGAGCTAGAGTCTAGACACTAGATGACATTGTGGAGACAGAGAGACACGTGGAGCTAGAGTCTAGACACTAGATGACAACGTGGAGACAGAGAGACACGTGGAGCTAGAGTCTAGACACCAGATGACATTGTGGAGACAGAGAGACACGTGGAGCTAGAGTCTAGACACCAGATGACAACGTGGAGACAGAGAGACATGTGGAGCTAGAGTCTAGACACCAGATGACAACGTGGAGACAGACAGAGAGACACGTGGAGCTAGAGTCTAGACACCAGATGACAATGTGGAGACAGAGAGACACGTGGAGCAAGAGTCTAGACACCAGAAGACAACGTGGAGACAGAGAGACACGTGGAGCTAGAGTCTAGACACCAGATGACATTGTGGAGACAGAGAGACACGTGGAGCTAGAGTCTAGACACCAGATGACAACGTGGAGACAGAGAGACAGAGAGACACGTGGAGCTAGAGTCTAGACACCAGATGACATTGTGGAGACAGAGAGACAGAGAGACACGTGGAGCTAGAGTCTAGACACCAGATGACAACGTGGAGACAGAGAGACAAGTGGAGCTAGAGTCTAGACACCAGATGACAATGTGGAGACAGAGACAGAGAGACACGTGGAGCTAGAGTCTAGACACCAGATGACAACGTGGAGACAGAGAGACAGAGAGACACGTGGAGCTAGAGTCTAGACACCAGATGACAACGTGGAGACAGACAGAGAGACACGTGGAGCTAGAGTCTAGACACCAGATGACAACGTAGAGACAAACAGAGAGACACGTGGAGCTAGAGTCTAGACACCAGATGACAACGTAGAGACAAACAGAGAGACACGTGGAGATAGAGTCTAGACACCAGATGACAACGTGGAGACAGAGAGACACGTGGAGCTAGAGTGTAGACACCAGATGACAACGTGGAGACAGAGAGACAGAGAGACACGAGGAGCTAGAGTCTAGGCACTAGACGACAACGTGGAGACAGAGAGACACGTGGGGCTAGAGTCTAGACACCAGATGACAACGTGGAGACAGAGAGACAAGTGGAGCTAGAGTGTAGACACCAGATGACAACGTGGAGACAGACAGAGAGACACGTGGAGCTAGAGTCTAGACACCAGATGACAACGTGGAGACAGAGAGACACGTGGAGCTAGAGTGTAGACACCAGATGACAACGTGGAGACAGAGAGACAGAGAGACACGAGGAGCTAGAGTCTAGGCACCAGACGACAACGTGGAGACAGAGAGACACGTGGGGCTAGAGTCTAGACACCAGATGACAACGTGGAGACAGAGAGACAAGTGGAGCTAGAGTGTAGACACCAGATGACAACGTGGAGATAGACAGAGAGACACGTGGAGCTAGAGTCTAGACACCAGATGACAACGTGGAGACAGAGAGACACGTGGAGCTAGAGTCTAGACACCAGATGACATTGTGGAGACAGAGAGACAGAGAGACACGTGGAGCTAGAGTCTAGACACCAGATGACATTGTGGAGACAGAGAGACAGAGAGACACGTGGAGCTAGAGTCTAGACACCAGACGACAACGTGGAGACAGAGAGACACGTGGTGCTAGAGTCTAGACACCAGATGACGACGTGGAGACAGAGAGACAGAGAGACACGTGGGGCTAGAGTCTAGACACCAGATGACAACGTGGAGACAGAGAGACAAGTGGAGCTAGAGTGTAGACACCAGATGACAACGTGGAGATAGAGAGACAGGTGGAGCTAGAGTCTAGACACCAGATGACAACGTGGAGACAGACAGAGAGACACGTGGAGCTAGAGTCTAGACACCAGGTGACAACGTGGAGACAGAGAGACACGTGGAGCTAGAGTCTAGACACCAGATGACAACGTGGAGACAGAGAGACAGAGAGACACGTGGAGCTAGAGTCTAGACACCAGATGACAAGGTGGAGACAGAGAGACACGTGGAGCTAGAGTCTAGACACCAGATGACAACGTGGAGACAGAGAGACAAGTGGAGCTAGAGTCTAGACACCAGATGACAACGTGGAGACAGAGAGACAGAGAGACAAGTGGAGCTAGAGTCTAGACACCAGATGACAATGTGGAGACAGAGAGACACGTGGAGCTAGAGTCTAGACACCAGATGACAACGTAGAGACAAACAGAGAGACACGTGGAGCTAGAGTCTAGACACCAGATGACAACGTGGAGACAGACAGAGAGACACGTGGAGCTAGAGTCTAGACACCAGATGACAACGTGGAGACAGAGAGACACGTGGAGCTAGAGTCTAGACACCAGATGACAACGTGGAGACAGACAGAGAGAGACACGTGGTGCTAGAGTCTAGACACCAGATGACAACGTGGACACAGAGAGACACGTGGAGCTAGAGTCTAGACACCAGATGACAACGTGGAGACAGAGAGACACGTGGAGCTAGAGTCCAGACACCAGATGACAATGTGGAGACAGAGAGACAAGTGGAGCTAGAGTGTAGACACCAGATGACAACGTGGAGACAGAGAGACACGTGGAGCTAGAGTCTAGACACCAGATGACAACGTGGAGACAGAGAGACAGAGAGACACGTGGAGCTAGAGTCTAGACACCAGATGACAACGTGGAGACAGAGAGACACGTGGAGCTAGAGTCTAGACACCAGATGACAACGTGGAGACAGACAGAGACACGTGGAGCTAGAGTCTAGACACCAGATGACAATGTGGAGACAGAGAGACAGAGAGACACGTGGAGCTAGAGTCTAGACACCAGATGACAACGTGGAGACAGAGAGACACGTGGAGCTAGAGTCTAGACACCAGATGACAATGTGGAGACAGAGAGACACGTGGAGCTAGAGTCCAGACACCAGATGACAACGTGGAGACAGAGAGACACGTGGAGCTAGAGTCTAGACACCAGATGACAATGTGGAGACAGAGAGACACGTGGAGCTAGAGTCTAGACACCAGATGACAACGTGGAGACAGAGAGACACGTGGAGCTAGAGTCTAGACACCAGGTGACAACGTGGAGACAGAGAGACACGTGGAGCTAGAGTCTAGACACCAGATGACAACGTGGAGACAGAGAGACACGTGGAGCTAGAGTCTAGACACCAGATGACAACGTGGAGACAGAGAGACACGTGGAGCTAGAGTCCAGACACCAGATGACAACGTGGAGACAGAGAGACACGTGGAGCTAGAGTCTAGACACCAGATGACAACGTGGAGACAGAGAGACACGTGGAGCTAGAGTCTAGACACCAGATGACAACGTGGAGACAGAGAGACACGTGGAGCTAGAGTCTAGACACCAGATGACAACGTGGAGACAGAGAGACACGTGGAGCTAGAGTCCAGACACCAGATGACAACGTGGAGACAGAGAGACACGTGGAGCTAGAGTCTAGACACCAGATGACAACGTGGAGACAGAGAGACAGAGAGACACGTGGAGCTAGAATCTAGACACCAGATGACAACGTGGAGACAGAGAGACACGTGGAGCTAGAGTCTAGACACCAGATGACAACGTGGAGACAGAGAGACACGTGGAGCTAGAGTCCAGACACCAGATGACAACGTGGAGACAGAGAGACACGTGGAGCTAGAGTCTAGACACCAGATGACAACGTGGAGACAGAGAGACACGTGGAGCTAGAGTCTAGACACCAGATGACAACGTGGAGACAGAGAGACACGTGGAGCTAGAGTCTAGACACCAGATGACAACGTGGAGACAGAGAGACACGTGGAGCTAGAGTCTAGACACCAGATGACAACGTGGAGACAGACAGAGAGAGACACGTGGTGCTAGAGTCTAGACACCAGATGACAACGTGGACACAGAGAGACACGTGGAGCTAGAGTCTAGACACCAGATGACAACGTGGAGACAGAGAGACACGTGGAGCTAGAGTCCAGACACCAGATGACAATGTGGAGACAGAGAGACAAGTGGAGCTAGAGTGTAGACACCAGATGACAACGTGGAGACAGAGAGACACGTGGAGCTAGAGTCTAGACACCAGATGACAACGTGGAGACAGAGAGACAGAGAGACACGTGGAGCTAGAGTCTAGACACCAGATGACAACGTGGAGACAGAGAGACACGTGGAGCTAGAGTCTAGACACCAGATGACAACGTGGAGACAGACAGAGACACGTGGAGCTAGAGTCTAGACACCAGATGACAATGTGGAGACAGAGAGACAGAGAGACACGTGGAGCTAGAGTCTAGACACCAGATGACAACGTGGAGACAGAGAGACACGTGGAGCTAGAGTCTAGACACCAGATGACAATGTGGAGACAGAGAGACACGTGGAGCTAGAGTCCAGACACCAGATGACAACGTGGAGACAGAGAGACACGTGGAGCTAGAGTCTAGACACCAGATGACAATGTGGAGACAGAGAGACACGTGGAGCTAGAGTCTAGACACCAGATGACAACGTGGAGACAGAGAGACACGTGGAGCTAGAGTCTAGACACCAGGTGACAACGTGGAGACAGAGAGACACGTGGAGCTAGAGTCTAGACACCAGATGACAACGTGGAGACAGAGAGACACGTGGAGCTAGAGTCTAGACACCAGATGACAACGTGGAGACAGAGAGACACGTGGAGCTAGAGTCCAGACACCAGATGACAACGTGGAGACAGAGAGACACGTGGAGCTAGAGTCTAGACACCAGATGACAACGTGGAGACAGAGAGACACGTGGAGCTAGAGTCTAGACACCAGATGACAACGTGGAGACAGAGAGACACGTGGAGCTAGAGTCTAGACACCAGATGACAACGTGGAGACAGAGAGACACGTGGAGCTAGAGTCCAGACACCAGATGACAACGTGGAGACAGAGAGACACGTGGAGCTAGAGTCTAGACACCAGATGACAACGTGGAGACAGAGAGACAGAGAGACACGTGGAGCTAGAATCTAGACACCAGATGACAACGTGGAGACAGAGAGACACGTGGAGCTAGAGTCTAGACACCAGATGACAACGTGGAGACAGAGAGACACGTGGAGCTAGAGTCCAGACACCAGATGACAACGTGGAGACAGAGAGACACGTGGAGCTAGAGTCTAGACACCAGATGACAACGTGGAGACAGAGAGACACGTGGAGCTAGAGTCTAGACACCAGATGACAACGTGGAGACAGAGAGACAGAGAGTCAAGTGGAGCTAGAATCTAGACACCAGATGACAACGTGGAGACAGAGAGACACGTGGAGCTAGAGTCTAGACACCAGATGACAACGTGGAGACAGAGAGACACGTGGAGCTAGAGTCCAGACACCAGATGACAACGTGGAGACAGAGAGACACGTGGAGCTAGAGTCTAGACACCAGATGACAACGTGGAGACAGAGAGACACGTGGAGCTAGAGTCTAGACACCAGATGACAACGTGGAGACAGAGAGACAGAGAGACACGTGGTACTAGAGTCTAGACACCAGATGACAACGTGGAGACAGAGAGACAGAGAGTCAAGTGGAGCTAGAGTCTAGACACCAGATGACAACGTGGAGACACGCCCCGTGGGGTTGACACACGCTAGTGGACGAGGCCTCACCTGCCGCTAGGCCTCAGCTCCTTGCCCTTCTTGAGCCACGTGACCTCGGTGTTGCGGTCGCGGACCTGCAGAACGAGGCGGACACGCTCGCCCCTCATGGCCTGCAGCGTCGGCGGCAGCCGGGACAGGAAGGCTGCGGCAGGGCGGGCGAGAGGGACGGAGCGGGACGAGGAGATGAGGAGAGGCTCGCAGGGGACACGGACTCACACAGAGGACATGGACTAGAGGACACGGACTCAAACAGAGGACATGGACTCACTCACACACAGGACATGGACTCAAACAGAGCAGAGGACACGGACTCACGCAGAGGACACGGACTCACGCAGAGGAAACGGACTCACACAGAGGACATGGACTCAAACAGAGAACACGGACTAGAGGACACGGACTCACGCAGGGGACACGGACTCACGGAGAGGACACGGACTCACTCACACAGAGGACACGGACTCACACAGAGGACACGGACTCACACAGAGGACACGGACTCACACAGAGGACACGGACTCACTCACGCAGAGGACACGGACTTACGCAGAGGACACGGACTCACACAGAGGACACGGACTCACGCAGAGGACACGGACTCACGCAGAGGACACGGACTCAAACAGAGGACACGGACTCATGCAGAGGACACGGACTCACGCAGGGGACACGGACTCACACAGAGGACACGGACTCACGCAGGGGACACGGACTCACACAGAGGACACGGATTCACGCAGAGGACACGGACTCACGCAGAGGACACGGACTCACACAGAGGACACGGACTCACGCAGAGGACACGGACTCACACAGAGGACACGGACTCACACAGAGGACACGGACTCACACACAGAGGACACGGACTCACGGAGAGGACACGGACTCACACAGAGGACACGGACTCACACAGAGGACACGGACTAGAGGACACGGACTCACACAGAGAACACGGACTCACACAGAGGACACGGACTAGAGGACACGGACTCACGCAGGGGACACGGACTCACACAGAGGTGCACACACAGAGACAGAGAGAGCGAGTGTCTCCATCTGTGTGGTCTCCATGTCTCCCCTTCATCTCCCCGCTGTGTCCCCGCTGTCTCCCCTTCGTCTCCCCTCTGTCTCCCCACCTCGTCTCCCTGCCTTGTCTCCCCTTCGTCTCCCCGCTGTCTCCCCGCCATCTCCCCTTCGTCTCCCCTCTGTCTCCCTGCCGTCTCCCTGCTGTCTCCCCGCCTTGTCTCCCCGCCATCTCCCTGCCGTCTCCCCGCTGTCTCCCCGCCTTGTCTCCCCACTGTCTCCCCTCCGTCTCCCCTCCGTCTCCCCTCCGTCTCCCCTCCGTCTCCCCTCTGTCTCCCCGCTGTCTCCCCTCTGTCTCCCCGCTTTGTCTCCCCGCTGTCTCCCCTCCGTCTCCCCTCCGTCTCCCGTCCGTCTCCCCGCTGTCTCCCCACTGTCTCCCCACCGTCTCCCCTTCGTCTCCCCTCCGTCTCCCCTCCTTGTCTCCCCGCCTTGTCTCCCCGCTGTCTCCCCACCGTCTCCCCTCTGTCTCCCCTCCGTCTCCCCGCCCTGTCTCCCCGCCTCTGTCCCCCCCACCGGAGGCCTTGGGCGGAGCTGCGCGCTTCTTCATGGCGTTGAGGCGAGTCAGCATCCCGCGCAGGTCGGTGATGCCGTGCTGCAGGGCAATCTTCTCGTAGTCACAGGGCTTGGCGCTCTTCAGGATCTCCCACACGTCCACCTCGGGCTCGGCGGGCAGAGACGCCCGCGAGTCTCTGACACCACCACCGACGACGACGAAGACGACGAAGACGACGACGACGAAACAGCAGCAAAAACAACAACAACCAAAACAATCATCACAAGCACCATCAACACCATGATAATCATCACAACCACCACCAACAACAACAACCACGACAATCATCACAAACACCATAACAACAACCACGACAATCATCACAAACACCATCAACACCATGATAATCATCACAACCACCACCAACAACAACAACCACGACAATCATCACAAACACCATAACAACAACCACGACAATCATTACAAACACCATCAATACCATGATAATCATCACAACCACCACCACCTACAACAACAACAACCAAGACAATCATCACAAACACCATAACAACAACTACGACAATCATCACAAACACCATCAACACCATGATAATCATCACAACCACCACCAACAACAACAACAACCAAGACAATCATCACAACCACCATCAACACCATGATAATCATTACAACAACAACAACCAAGACAACAACAACCAAGACAATCATCACAAGCACCATCAACACCATGATAATCATCACAACCACCACCAACAACAACAACAACCAAGACAATCGTCACAACCACCATCAACACCATGATAATCATTACAACAACAACAACAACAACAACCAAGACAACAACAACCAAGACAATCGTCAAAAACACCACAACAACAACCACGACAATCATCACAAACACCAACACCACCCTAACAACAACAACCACGACAATCATCACAAACACCATCAACACCATCATAATCATCACAACCACCAACAACAACAACAACAACAACCAAGACAATCGTCACAAACACCCTAACAACAACAACCAAGACAATCATCACAACCACCATCAACACCATGATAATAATCACAACCACCAACAACAACTGCCAACAACAACCAAGACAATCATCACAAACACCATAACAACAACCACGACAATCATCACAAACACCATCAACACCCTAACAACAACCGCCAACAACAACCAAGACAATCATCACAAACACCACAACAACAACCAAGACAATAATCACAACCACCATCAACACCATGATAATCATCACAACAACATCCTAACAACAACCGCCAACAACAACCAAGACAATCGTCACAAACACCCTAACAACAACAACCACGACAATCATCACAAACACCATCAACACCATGATAATCATCACAACCACCAACAACAACAACAACAACCGCCACAACCCAGACAATCATCACAAACACCATAACAACAACCAAGACAATCATCACAAACACCATCAACACCATAATAATCATCACAACCACCAATAGCACCCTAACAACAACAACAACCAAGACAATCATCACAAACACCATAACAACAACCACGACAATCATCACAACCACCATCAACACCATGATAATCATCACAACAACACCGTAACATCAACCGCCAAAACTAAGACAATCATCACAAACAAAATCAACACCATTATAATAATCACAACAACACCCTAACAACAACAACAACAACAACCAAGACAATCATCACAAACACCAACAACACCATGATAATCATCACAACCACCAACACCACCCTAACAACAACCACCACAACCAAGACAATCATCACAAACACCAACAACACCATGATAATCATCACAACCACCACCAACAACAACAACCACCACAGCCAAGACAATCATCACAACCACCATAACAACAACCACGACAATCATCACAACCACCAACACAACAACCACCACAACCAAGAGAATCATCACAACCACCATCACAACAACCACCCCAACCAAGACAATCATCACAAACACCATCAACACCATGATAATCATCACAACCACCAACAACAACAACCACCACAACCAAGACAATCATCACAACCACCATCGCAACAAGACCACAATCACCACCACCACAATCACTACCACAACAACAACCACAACAACCACCACCACAACCACCATCACAACCACCATCACCGTTTCTTGAGCAGTGCACTGAAGTCAAGTTCCCCAGCATCTTCACTGCCAGTTCTCCTGCAACAACAACAACCACAACCACATTAGCACAACCACTACAACCACAATAGCACAACTACATTAGTGAGAGGGTGAGTGGGTGGGTGAGTGAGTGGCTGAGAGGGTGAGTGGGTGAGAGGGTGAGTACGTGGGTGGGTGGAGAGTGAGTGGGTGAGTGAGTGGGTGGGTGAGCGGGTGAGTGGGTGAGTGGGTGGGTGAGTGGGTGAGTACGTGGGTGGGTGAGAGGGTGAGTGGGTGAGTGAGTGGGTGGAGAGTGAGTGGGTGAGTGGCTGAGAGGGTGAGTGGGTGAGTGAGTGGGTGAGTGAGTGAGTGAGTGGGTTGGCGAGTGGGTGAGTGTGTAAGAGGGTGAGTGGGCGAGTGAGTGGGTGGGTGAGAGGGTGAGTGGGTGGGTGAATGGGTGAGTGAGTGGGTGGGTGAGAGGGTGAGTGGGTGAGTGGGTGGGTGAATGGGTGAGTGAGTGGGTGGGTGGAGAGTGAGTGGGTGAGTGGGTGGGTGGAGAGTGAGTGGGTGGGTGAATGGGTGAGTGGGTGAGAAGATGAGTGGGTGAATGAGTGGGTGGAGAGTGAGTGAGTGGGTGGGTGGGTGAATGGGTGAGAGAGTGAGTGGGTGAGAGAGTGAGTGGGTGAGTGGGTGAGTGGGTGGAGAGTGAGTCGGTGGGTGGGTGAGTGGGTGGATGGTGAGGGAGTGGTAAGGGAGTGGTGGGTGAGTGGTGAGGGAGTGGTGAGGGAGTGGTTTAGTGGGTGGGTGAGTGGGTGGGTGAGTGGTGAGGGAGTGGTGAGGGAGTGGTGAGTAACTTACGTTCTTTTGAAGGCTGCTCTGATGTCTTCCGTCTGCGATTCTTTGGCTGAGAGACACGGGGTGGGAGACACGGGGGAGAGACACGGCGTGGGAGAGACACGGGGGGGGGAGAGACACGGGGGGGGGGGAGAGACACGGGGGGAGAGACACGGGGGGGGGGGGGGAGAGACACGGGGGGGGGGGAGAGACACGGGGGGAGAGACACGGGGGGAGGATGGAGACACGAGGTGGGGTGAGGGAGACAGATTAATTAATGAACATGGACGGCTTAGAGACGTTGAGCTTCATCTAGCAGTGGACAGAGTAGAGTGTTCACCCTGAGCTGACCCCTCCCCCCACCTCTACCCTCCATCTAGGGGGTACCCGTGAGGGAGACCCCTACAACAAGTCCCCTTGATCCCCTCTCACCCCCCCTGCCCCCCACCCCCCACCTAGGGGGTACCTATAACGGAGACCCCTACAACAAGTCCCCTTGATCCCCTATGACCCCCCCTGCCCCCCACCCCCCACCTAGGGGGTACCCGTGACTGAGACCCCTACAACAAGTCCCCTTGATCCCCTCTCACCCCCCTCCCCCCCACCCCCCACCTAGGGGTACCTATAACGGAGACCCCTACAACAAGTCTCCTTGATCCCCTCTCACCCCCCTGCCCCCCACCCCCCACCTAGGGGGTACCTATAACGGAGACCCCTACAACAAGTCCGCTTGATCCCCTCTCACCCACCCCCCATCTAGGGGGTACCCATGACGGAGACCCCTACAACAGGTCCCCTTGATCCCCTCTCACCCCCCCACCTAGGGGGTACCTATAACTGAGACCCCTACAACAAGTCCCCTTGATCCCCTATCACCCCCCCTGCCCCCCACCCCCCACCTAGGGGGTACCCATGACTGAGACCCCTACAACAAGTCCCCTTGATCCCCTCTCACCCCCCCTGCCCCCCCCCATTTAGGGGGTACCCGTGACGGATACCCCTACAACAAGTCCCCTTGATCCCCTCTCACCCCCCCTGCCCCCAACCCCACACCTAGGGGGTACCTATAACGGAGACCCCTACAAGTCCCCTTGATCCCCTCTCACCCCCTGCCCCCCACCCCCCACCTAGGGGGTACCTATAACGGAGACGTTGAACCCCCAGGAGTCGGTGACATCACCAAAGACGACCTCGCAGCGATAGGAGCCAGAGAAACTCTCCTTGGCCGCGATGATGCACAGTGAGAAGGTGAACACCTGTGTACAGGTAGGGGTCACGTGTCACAGTGAGAAGGTGAACACCTGTACACAGGTAGGGGTCACGTGTCACAGTGAGAAGGTGAACACCTGTGCACAGGTAGGGGTCACGTGTCACAGTGAGAAGGTGAACACCTGTACACAGGTAGGGGTCACGTGTCACAGTGAGAAGGTGAACACCTGTGTACAGGTAGGGGTCACGTGTCACAGTGAGAAGGTGAACACCTGTACACAGGTAGGGGTCACGTGTCACAGTGAGAAGGTGAACACCTGTGCACAGGTAGGGGTCACGTGTCACAGTGAGAAGGTGAACACCTGTACACAGGTAGGGGTCACGTGTCACAGTGAGAAGGTGAACACCTGTACACAGGTGAGGGTGTGAGGGGTCACGTGTCACAGTGAGAAGGTGAACACCTGTGAACAGGTAGGGTGGGGTCACGTGTCACAGTGAGCAGGTGAACACCTGTACACAGGTAGGGGTCACGTGTCACGGTGAGCAGGTGAACACCTGTACACAGGTGAGGGTGTGAGGGGTCACGTGTCACAGTGAGAAGGTGAACACCTGTACACAGGTAGAGTGGGTGAGGGGTCACGTGTCACAGTGAGAAGGTGAACACCTGTACACAGGTAGGGGTCACGTGTCACAGTGAGAAGGTGAACACCTGTACACAGGTGAGGGTGTGAGGGGTCACGTGTCACAGTGAGAAGGTGAACACCTGTACACAGGTGAGGGTGTGAGGGGTCACGTGTCACAGTGAGAAGGTGAACACCTGTGCACAGGTAGGGTGTGAGGGGTCACGTGTCACAGTGAGAAGGTGAACACCTGTACACAGGTAGGGGTCACGTGTCACAGTGAGAAGGTGAACACCTGTGCATAGGTGAGGGGTCACGTGTCACAGTGAGAAGGTGAACACCTGTACATAGGTGAGGTGGGTGAGGGGTCATGTGTCACAGTGAGAAGGTGAACACCTGTACACAGGTGAGGGTGTGAGGGGTCACGTGTCACGGTGAGAAGGTGAACACCTGTGCACAGGTAGGGTGTGAGGGGTCACGTGTCACAGTGAGAAGGTGAACACCTGTGCATAGGTGAGGGGTCACGTGTCACAGTGAGAAGGTGAACACCTGTACACAGGTAAGGGGTCACGTGTCACGGTGAGAAGGTGAACACCTGTACACAGGTAGGGAGGGGTCACGTGTCACAGTGAGAAGGTGAACACCTGTACACAGGTAGGGTGGGGGGTCACGTGTCACAGTGAGCAGGTGAACACCTGTGTACAGGTAGGGTGGGTGGGGGGTCACGTGTCACAGTGAGAAGGTGAACACCTGTGAACAGGTGAGGGGTCACGTGTCACAGTGAGAAGGTGAACACCTGTGCACAGGTAGGGTGGGGTCACGTGTCACAGTGAGTAGGTGAACACCTGTACACAGGTGAGGGGTCACGTGTCACAGTGAGAAGGTGAACACCTGTGAACAGGTAGGGAGGGGTCACGTGTCACAGTGAGAAGGTGAACACCTGTACACAGGTAGGGTGGGGTCACGTGTCACAGTGAGAAGGTGAACACCTGTACACAGGTAGGGAGGGGTCACGTGTCACAGTGAGCAGGTGAACACCTGTACACAGGTAGGGAGGGGTCACGTGTCACAGTGAGCAGGTGAACACCTGTACACAGGTAGGGTGGGGGGTCACGTGTCACAGTGAGAAGGTGAACACCTGTACACAGGTAGGGTGTGAGGGGTCACGTGTCACAGTGAGAAGGTGAACACCTGTACACAGGTAGGGGTCACGTGTCACAGTGAGAAGGTGAACACCTGTGCACAGGTAGGGTGGGGTCACGTGTCAGTGAGCAGGTGAACACCTGTGCACAGGTAGGGGTCACGTGTCACGGTGAGAAGGTGAACACCTGTACACAGGTAGGGTCACGTGTCACAGTGAGAAGGTGAACACCTGTACACAGGTAGGGGTCACGTGTCACAGTGAGAAGGTGAACACCTGTACACAGGTAGGGTGGGGTCACGTGTCACGGTGAGAAGGTGAACACCTGTACACAGGTAGGGAGGGGTCACGTGTCACAGTGAGAAGGTGAACACCTGTACACAGGTAGGGGTCACGTGTCACAGTGAGAAGGTGAACACCTGTACACAGGTAGGGTGGGGTCACGTGTCACAGTGAGAAGGTGAACACCTGTACACAGGTAGGGGTCACGTGTCACAGTGAGAAGGTGAACACCTGTACACAGGTAGGGGTCACGTGTCACAGTGAGAAGGTGAACACCTGTACACAGGTAGAGTGGGTGAGGGGTCACGTGTCACAGTGAGAAGGTGAACACCTGTACACAGGTGAGGGTGTGAGGGGTCACGTGTCACAGTGAGATGGTGAACACCTGTACACAGGTAGGGAGGGGTCACGTGTCACAGTGAGAAGGTGAACACCTGTACACAGGTAGAGTGGGTGAGGGGTCACGTGTCACAGTGAGATGGTGAACACCTGTACACAGGTAGGGTGGGGTCACGTGTCACGGTGAGAAGGTGAACACCTGTGCACAGGTAGGGTGGGGTCACGTGTCACGGTGAGAAGGTGAACACCTGTGCACAGGTAGGGTGGGGTCACGTGTAACGGTGAGAAGGTGAACACCTGTACACAGGTAGAGTGGGTGAGGGGTCACGTGTCACAGTGAGAAGGTGAACACCTGTGAACAGGTAGGGGTCACGTGTCACAGTGAGAAGGTGAACACCTGTACACAGGTAGGGTGGGGGGTCACGTGTCACAGTGAGAAGGTGAACACCTGTGTACAAGTAGGGTGGGGTCACGTGTCACAGTGAGAAGGTGAACACCTGTACACAGGTAGGGTGTGAGGGGTCACGTGTCACAGTGAGAAGGTGAACACCTGTACACAGGTAGGGGTCACGTGTCACAGTGAGAAGGTGAACACCTGTACACAGGTAGGGTGGGGTCACGTGTCACAGTGAGCAGGTGAACACCTGTACACAGGTGAGGGTGGGGTCACGTGTCACAGTGAGAAGGTGAACACCTGTGCACAGGTAGGGTAGGGTCACGTGTCACGGTGAGAAGGTGAACACCTGTGAACAGGTAGGGGTCACGTGTCACAGTGAGAAGGTGAACACCTGTGAACAGGTGAGGGGTCACGTGTCACAGTGAGAAGGTGAACACCTGTACACAGGTAGGGTGTGAGGGGTCACGTGTCTCCCCCGCCCCGTGTCTCCCCCCTCCCCCGTCCACGTGTCTCCGTGTCTCTAACCTTGGTGTCTTTGTTGACTGTCTCCTTCAGAGTGAGATGCTTTCCGGTCTTCCCCGCAAGATCCATCCACTTGCCTGAGCAGCAGAAGCATCATCATCAGCATCATCATCATCAGCAGCAACATCATCATCAGCAACATCATCATCAGCAACATCATCATCAGCAGCAACATTATCAACTTCATCAACATCATCATCATCATCAGCAACATCATGATCAACTTCATCAACATCATCATCATCAGCATCATCAGCAGCAACATCATCAGCAACATCATCATCGGCGTCAACAGCATCATCAGCAACATCAGCATCAACAGCATCATCATCATCAGCATCATCAGCATCATCATCAACAGCAGCAGCAGCAGCATCATCAGCAACATCACCATCACTCCCGTTACCATCACCCCAATCACCACTACCATCAACACCATCAACCCCACCACCATCACCACCACCACCATCACCCCCCTCACCACCACCATCACCCCCCTCACCACCACCATCGTCACCGCCACCACCAACCCCACCCCCATCACCATGACCACCATCACCATCACCACCACCATCGTCACCGCCACCACCAACCCCACCCCCATCACCATCACCACCACCATCACCACCACCATCATCGTCACCACCATCACCACCACCACCACCATCATCGTCACCACCACCCCCATCACCACTACCATCAACACCACCCCCATCACCACCCCCATCACCACCTTCGTCACCACCCCCATCACCACCACCCCCATCACCATCACCACCATCACCACCCCCATCACCACCATCAACACCCCCATCACCACCCCCATCACCACCACCCCCATCACCACCCCCAACACCACCATCACCATCACCACCACCATCACCACCACCACCACCATCACCACCCCCATCACCACCACCATCACCACCCCCATCACCACCATCCCCATCACCCCCATCACCACCCCATCACCCCATCACCATCACCACTATCACTACCCCCATCACCATCACCACCCCCATCACCACCCCATCACCACCCCCATCACCATCACCACCATCACCACCACCACCATCACCCCCATCACCCCCACCACCACCCCCATCACCACCACCCCATCACCACCACCCCCATCACCACCACCCCATCACCACCACCCCCATCACCACCATCACCACCATCATCACCCCCATCACCACCACCACCACCACCACCATCACCACCCCCACCCCCCCACCCCCCCCACCCCCCCCCCACCCCCACCCCCCCACCCCCCACCCCCCCCACCCCCACCCCCCCACCCCCCCCCCACCCCCACCGCCCCCACCCCCCCCACCCCCCCATCACCTTTGAACCATCTCACTTGAGGCTTCTTCCTGATGCTGCCACTGCCATCAACTTGAGCCGAGAAGGTGATGTCATCGCCTAGCAGCAGAGGTCACGGAAAAGGTCAAGGTCATGGCAAAGGTCAAGTCTGGGCCAAAGACCTATGTCACGGCAAAGACAGGGGTCAAGTCAAAGGTCAGGGGTCGCCGCAAAAGGTCAAGTTCACGGCAAAAAGGCCAAGGACGTGCGAAAGGTCAAGGTCACGCCAAAGGTCGAGGGCGTGCCAACGGTCAAGGTCGCATCGAAGTTCAAGGCCGTGTCAAAGGTCAGGGCGGGTCACGTGTCAAGGTCGTGTAAAATGCCAAGGTCGCACCAAAGGTCAAGGGTGTGTCACGTGCCAAGGTCGTGTCAAATGCACTAAAGGTCAAGGTCGGGACAAATGTTAAGGGATTGTGAAAGGTCAACGTCGCATTAAAGGCCAAGGTCGTGTCAAAGGTCAAGGTGGTGTCAGAGGTCAAGGCCGTGCCAGCGTCCCAGGCCGAGAGAGGTCACGGGCATGCCAAAGGTCAAGGCAACGGTGTCCGTGTGGTGAGTGGTGAGCAGTGGTGAGCAGTGGTGAGCAGTGGTGAGCACAGTACCGGCGGTGACGGTGCCGTCCTGCGGGGTGGTGAGGAAGAGGCCGGTGAGCGAGCGAGCTTCCTCGGTGTCTGGGGTCACGGGGTCGCGGGGTCGCGGGGTCAAAAGGTCGTAAGGTCACGCGGTGGGTGAGTGAGCGAGTTAGTGGGTGAGTGGGCGGGTGGGTGAGTGAGTGGGTGAGTGAGTGGGTGAGTGAGTGAGTGAGTGGGTGGGTGAGTGAGTGAGTGAGTGGGCAGGTGGGTGAGTGAGTGAGTGAGTGGGTGAGTGAGTGGGTGAGTGAGTGAGTGGGTGAGTGAGTGAGTGGGTGAGTGGGAGAGTGTGTGGGTGAGTGAGTGAGTGAGTGATTGATTGATTGGGTGGGTGGTTGAGTGGGCGGGTGGGTGAGTGAGTGAGTGAGTGGGTGAGTGAGTGAGTGAGTGGGTGAGTGAGTGAGTGGGTGAGTGAGTGAGTGGGCAGGTGGGTGAGTGAGTGAGTGGGTGAGTGAGTGGGTGAGTGAGTGAGTGGGTGAGTGAGTGAGTGGATGAGTGGGTGAGTGTATGGGTGAGTGAGTGAGTGAGTGATTGATTGGGTGGGTGGTTGAGTGGGCGGGTGGGTGAGTGAGTGAGTGGGTGAGTGAGTGAGTGAGTGGGTGAGTGAGTGAGTGGGTGAGTGAGTATGTGGGTGAGTGAGTGAGTGGGTGAGTGTGTGGTTGAGTGAGTGAGTGAGTGGGTACAAGGGTGAGTGGGTGGGTGAGTGTGTGAATGGGTGAGTGAGTGAGTGAGTGGGTGAGTGAGTGAGTGAGTGGGTGAGTGAGTGGGTGAATGAGTGGGTGAGTGATTAGTGAGTGAGTGGTGAGTGATTAGTGAGTGAGTGGTGAGTGTCTCACCTTGTTTAACATCATTGTTTGAGTTTCCAGTGGTTTCACCTGTAACTGCAAGCGTGAGCATTAGTGGTGAGCAAGTGGGTGAGTGCGTGACTGAGTGAGTGGGTGAGTGGATGAGTGGGTGAGTGAGTGAATGTGTGAGTGGGTGGGTGGGTAGTTGAGTGCGTGGGTGGGTGAGTGGGTGGGTGGGTGAGTGGGTGTGTCAGTGGGTGGGTGAGTGAGTGGGTGACTAGGTGAGAAGGTGGGTGGGTGAGTGGGTGGGTGAGAGGGTGGGTGGGTGTGTGAATGGGTGAGTGAGTGAGTGAGTGGGTGAGTGAGTGAGTGAGTGGGTGAGTGGGTGAGTGGGTGGGTGAGTGAGTGGGTGGGTGAGTGGGTGAGTGAGTGGGCGAGTGGGTGTGTCAGTGGGGGGGGTGAGTGAGAGGGTGAGTGGGTGAGTGAGTGGGTGACTAGGTGAGAAGGTGGGTGGGTGAGTGGGTGGGTGAGTGGGTGGGTGTGTGAGTGGGTGAGTGAGTGAGTGAGTGGGTGGGTGTGTGAGTGGGTGAGTGAGTGAGTGAGTGGGTGAGTGAGTGAATGAGTGGTGAGTGATTAGTGAGTGAGTGGTGAGTGATTAGTGAGTGAGTGGTAAGTGTCTCACCTTGTTTAACATCATTGTTTGAGTTTCCAGTGGTTTCACCTGTAACTGCAAGCGTGAGCATTAGTGGTGAGCAAGTGGGTGAGTGTGTGACTGAGTGAGTGGGTGGGTAGGTGAGTGCGTGGGTGAGTAGGTGGGTGGGTGAGTGGGTGAGTGAGTGAATGTGAGTGGGTGGGTGGGTAGGTGAGTGCGTGGGTGAGTGGGTGGGTGAGTGGGTGGGTGAGTGAATGTGTGAGTGGGTGGGTGGGTAGGTGAGTGCGTGGGTGAGTGGATGAGTGGGTGAGTGAGTGAATGTGTGAGTGGGTGGGTGGGTAGGTGAGTGCGTGGGTGAGTGGGTGGGTGAGTGGGTGGGTGGGCGAGTGAGTGAGTCAGTGGGTGGGTGAATGAGAGGGTGGGTGGGTGAGTGAGTGAGTGAGTGGGTGACTAGGTGAGTAGGTGGGTGGGTGAGAGGGTGGGTGAGTGATTGGGTGGATGAGTGACTGGGTGAGACAGTAGGTGGGTCAGTGAGTTTAGTGAGTGAGTGGGTGAGTGTGTGAGTGAGTGAGTGAGAGGGTGAGTGGGTGAGTGAGAGGGTAAGTGGGTGAGTAGGTGAGTGGGTGGGTGGATAAGAGGGTGGGTGAGGGGTGAGTGAGTGGGTGAGTGAGTGGGTTAGTGAGTGGGTGAGTGAGTGGGTGAGTGGGTGAGTGAATGAGTGAGTGGCTGAGTAAGTGGCTGGATGGGTGAGTGGGTGAGTCAGTGGTGAGTGAGTGAGTGGGTGTGTGAGTGAGTGGAGTGAGTGAGTGGCTGAGTAGGTGAGTTAGTGAGTGATTAGTGAGTGAGTGAGTAAGTGAGTAAGTGGGTGAGTGGCTGAGTGAGTGGGTGAGTGAGTGGCTGAGTGGGTGAGTGAGTGAGTGGGTGAATGAATGAGTGGCTGAGAGAGTGGGTGAGGGAGTGGTTGGTGAGTGAGTGGTGAGTGAGTGGTGAGTGAGTGGCTGAGTGGGTGAGTGAGTGAGTGAGTGGCTGTGTGAGTGGGTGAGTGAGTGGGTGGTGAGTGAGTGGTGAGTGAGTGGTGAGTGAGTGGCTGATTGGGTGAGTGAGTGAGTGAGTGGCTGAGTGAGTGGGTGAGTGAGTGGCTGAGTGGGTGAGTAGGTGAGTGAGTGGTGAGTGAGTGAGTGAGTGGTGAGTGACTCACCCTGTTTAACATCATTGTTTGAGTTCTCATTGGGCTCACCTGTAACAGAGCAAGGGTGATCATTAGTGGTGAGTGGTGGTGAGTGAGTAGTCGTGAGTGGACAGTAGTGGTGAGTGAGTGCTGAGTGAGTGGTGAGTGAGTGGGTGAGTGAGTGAGTGAGTGGTAAGTGAGTAGTGAGTGAGTGGTGAGTGACGGTGAGTGAGTGGTGAGAGAGTGGGTGGTGAGTGGTTGTGAGAACTGGTGAGTGAGTGGTGAGTGGTTGTGAGTGGTGAGTGAGTGGTGAGTGGTGGTGAGTGAGTGGTGAGTGAGTGGTGAGTAGTGGTGAGTGGTGAGTGAGTGGTGAGTGAGTGTTGAGTGAGTGGTGAGTGAGTAGTGAGTGAGTGAGTGATGAGTGAGTGTTGAGTGAGTGGTGACTGAGTGGTGAGTGAGTGGTGAGTGGGTGGTGAGTGAGTGGTGAGTGAGTGACTGGTGAGTGAGTGAGTAGTGAGTGAGTGAGTGAGTGGTGAGTGAGTGGTGAGTGAATGAGTGGTGAGTGAGTGGTGAGTGAGTGAGTGGTGAGTGGTGGTGAGTGAGTGGTGAGTGGTGAGTGAGTGGTAAGTGAGTGAGTGATGGTGAGTGAGTGGTGAGTTGTGGTGAGTACTGGTGAGTGAGTGGTGAGTGTGTGGTGAGTGAGTGGTGAGTACTGGCGAGTGAGTAGTGAGTGAGTGGTGAGTGGTGAGTGAGTGAGTGAGTGGTGAGTGAGTGAGTGATTGGTGAGTGAGTGGTGAGTGAGTGAGTGTTGAGTGAGTGGTGAGTGAGTGGTGAGTGGTGAGTGGAGAGCGAGTGGAGAGTGAGTGGTGAGTAGTGAGTGAGTGTTGAGTGTTGAGTAAGTGGTGAGTAAGTGGTGAGTGAGTGGTGAGTGAGTGTTGAGTGAGTGGTTAGTGAGTGTTGAGAGAGTGGTGAGTGTTGAGTGAGTGGTGAGTGAGTGGCGAGTGAGTGTTGAGTGTTGAGTAAGTGGTGAGTAAGTGGTGAGTGAGTGTTGAGTGAGTGTTGAGTAAGTGTTGAGTGAGTGGTGAGTGAGTGGTGAGTGAGTGGTGAGTGAGTGAGTGAGTGGTGAGTGAGTGGTGAGTGAGTGGTGAGTGAGTGAGTGTTGAGTGGTGAGTGAGTGGTGAGTGAGTGTTGAGTGAGTGGTGAGTGAGTGGTGAGTGAGTGGTGAGTGAGTGGTGAATGTTGAGTGAGTGGTGAGTGAGTGGTGAGTGAGTGTTGAGTGAGTGGTGAGTGAGTGGTGAGTGAGTGGTGAGTGAGTGGTAAGTGAGAGTGGTGAGTGAGTGGTGAGTGAGTGTTGAGTGAGTGGTGAGTGAGTGGTGAGTGAGTGGTGAGTGGTGAGTGAGTGTTGAGTGAGTGGTGAGTGAGTGGTGAGTGAGTGTTGAGTGAGTGGTGAGTGAGTGGTGAGTGAGTGTTGAGTGAGTGGTGAGTGAGTGGTGAGTGAATGTTGAGTGAGTGGTGAGTGAGTGGTGAGTGAGTGGTGAGTGAGTGTTGAGTGAGTGGTGAGTGAGTGGTGAGTGAGTGAGTGGTGAGTGAGTGGTGAGTGAGTGGTGAGTGAGTGAGTGGTGAGTGTTGAGTGGTGAGTGAGTGAGTGAGTGGTGAGTGAGTGGTGAGTGAGTGGTAAGTGGTGAGTGAGTGTTGAGTGAGTGAGTGAGTGGTGAGTGAGTGAGTGGTAAGTGAGTGGTGAGTGAGTGGTGAGTGAGTGTTGAGTGAGTGAGTGAGTGAATGGTGAGTGAGTGGTGAGTGAGTGGTGAGTGAGTGTGTGAGTGAGTGAGTGGTAAGTGAGTGGTGAGTGAGTGGTGAGTGAGTGGTGAGTGAGTGGTGAGTGAGTGAGTGGTGAGTAAGTGTTGAGTGAGTGAGTAAGTGTTGAGTGAGTGTTGAGTGAGTGTTGAGTGAATGAGTGAGTGAATGGTGAGTGAGTGGTGAGTGAGTGGTGAGTGAGTGGTGAGTGAGTGTTGAGTGAGTGAGTGAGTGAATGGTGAGTGAGTGGTGAGTGAGTGGTGAGTGAGTGGTGAGTGAGTGAGTGAGTGTTGAGTGAGTGGTGAGTGAGTGGTGAGTGAGTGGTGAGTGAGTGGTGAGTGAGTGGTGAGTAATTCCTCACCACTCAGGGTGAACTCCACCACAGTCGTCCCCACATGCAGGCTGTAGCTCCCACAATCCTCAGCTGTGACAGCCGCCACTGTGAGAGTGTGACGCTTGCCAACACTCTACCGTCAACATCATCATCATCAGCAACATCATCATCAACATCATCAACAACATCATCAACATCATTAACATCATCATCATCAACATCATCATAATCAACAACATCATCAACATCATCATCAACATCATCATAATCAACAACATCATCAACATCATCATCAACAACATCATCATCATCAACAACATCAACATCATCATCATCATCAAAATCATCGTCAGCAATGTCATCATCACCATCAGCAACATCATCATCATAAACATCATCAACATCATCGTCATCAGCAACAGTATCAACATCATCATCAACATCATCAGAAACATCATCATCAACATCAACATCATCATCATCAACATCATCAACATCATCAGCATCATAATCATCAGCATCATCATCAACATCCTCATCAACATCATCATCAACAACATTATCATCATCAGCAGCAACATCATCATCAACAACATTATCATCAACATCATCATCAACATCATCATCAACATCATCCTCAACATCATCATCAACATTATCATCAACATTATCATCAACAACATCATCAAAATCATCAGCATCATCATCAGCATCATCATCATCATCAACATCATCATCAACATCATCATCAACATTATCATCAACAACATCATCAACATCATCATCATCAACATCATCATCAACATCATCAACATCATCAACATCAACATCATCATCAACAACATCATCAACATCATCAACATCATCATCATCAACATCATCATCCTCAACATCATCATCAACATCAACATCATCATCCTCAACATCATCATCAACATCATCATCATCAACAACATCATCAACATCATCATAATCAACAACATCATCATCAGCAACATCATCAGCATCAACATCATAATCAACAACATCATCAACATCATTATCATCAGCAACATCATCATCATCATCAGCAACATCATCATCATCAACAACATCATCAACATTATCAGCATCAACATCATCATCATCATCAACATCATCATCAGCAACATCATCAACTTCATCATCACTATCATCATTATCAACAACATCATCATGATCATCAGCAACATCATCAACATCATCATCAACATCATCATAATCAACAACATCATCGACATCAGCAACATCATCAGCATCAACATCATCATCAACATCATCATCAGCAACATCACCAACATCATCATAATCAACAACATCAACATCATTATCATCAGCAACATCATCATCATCAGCAACATCATCATCATCAACAACATCATCAACATTATCAGCATCAACATCATCATCATCAACATCATCATCAGCAACATCATCAACTTCATCATCACTATCATCATTATCAACAACATCATCATGATCATCAGCAACATCATCAACATCATCATCAACAACATCATCAACATCATCAACATCATCATCATCAACATCATCATCATCAACATCATCATCAACAACATCATCAACATCATCAACATCATCATCAACAACATCATCAACATCATCATCAACATCATCATCATCAACAACATCATCAACATCATGATAATCAACATCATCATCATCAGCAGCAACATCATCAGCAACATCATCATCAACATCATCATCAGCAACATCATCAACATCATCATAATCAACAACATCATCAACATCATCATCAGCAACATCATCATCATCATCAGCAACATCACAGCATCACCAACATCACCAACATCAACATCATCATCAACATCATCAGCATCAGCATCATCATCAGCAACATCATCATCAGCAACATCATCAACATCAACATCATCAACATCAACATCATCAACATCATCATCAGAAACATCATCAACATCATCATAATCAACAAAATCATAATCATCAGCAACATCAACATCATCAACATCATCATAATCAACAACATCATCATCATCAACAACATCATCATCATCAACATCATCATCAACAACATAATCAACATCATCATCATCAACATCATCATCAACATCATCAACATCATCATCATCATCAACAACATCATCAACATCATCAACGTCATCATCAGCAACATCATCATCATCAACAACATCATCATCATCAACAACATCATCATCAACATCATCAACATCATCACTAACAACATCAGCAACATCATCAACATCATCATAATCAACAACATCATCAACATCATCATCGTCAGCAACATCATCATCATCAACATCATCAACATCTACATCAACATCATCAACATCATCAACATCATCATCATTAACATCATCATCAATATCATCAACATCAACATCATCAACATCATCATAATCAACATCATCAACATCATCATCATCAGCAACATCATCAACAACATCAACATCATCATCATAACCATCATCAGTAGCATCATCACCATCATCACCATCATCATCATCAACATCATCAACATCAACCTCATCAACATCATCATCATAATCAACATCATCATCACCATCATCAGCATCAACATCCTCATCAACATCATCAACATCATCATCAACATCATCATCAACATCATCAACATCATCATCAACATCATCATCATCAACATCATCATCAACATCATCATCAACATCATCAACATCATCATAATCAACAACATCATCAACATCATCATCATCAACATCATCATCATCAGCAACATCATCATCATCAACAACATCCTCATCATCAACATCATCAACATCATCATAAACAACATCATTAACATCATCAACATCATCATTAACATCATCAACATCATCATCAACATCATCAACATCATCATAATCAACAACATCATCAACATCATCATCATCAACACCATCATCATCAGCAACATCATCATCATCATCAACAACATCATCATCATCAACATCATCAACATCATCATAATCAACAACATGATAATCATCAGCAACATCATCATCATCAACATCATCATCAACATCATCAACATCATCATCAACATCATCAACATCATCAACATCATCATCAACATCATCATCATCAACAACAACATCATAATCAACAACATCATCAACATCATCATCATCAACATCATCAACATCATCATCATTAACATCATCATCAATATCATCAACATCAACATCATCAACATCATCATCAATATCATCAACATCATTAACATAATCAACATCATCATAATCAACATCATCATCATCATCAACATCATCAACATCATCATCAACAAAATCATCAACATCATCATCAACATCATCATCAACATCATCAACATCATCATAATCAACATCACCAACACCATCATCATCATCATCAGCAGCAACATCATCATCATCATCATCAACATCATCATCAACATCATCATCATCATCAACACCATCAACATCTTCAACATTATCATCAACAACATCATCAACATCATCATCATCAACATCATCATCAACATCATCAACATCACCAACATCACCAACATCATCATCAACATCAACATCATCATCATCAACATCATCAACATCAACATCATCATCAACATCATCATCATCATCAGCAACATCATCATCAACATCATCAACATCATCATCAACAACATCATCAACGTCATCAACATCATCATCAACATCATCAACATCATCACAACAACATCAACATCATCATAATCAACAACATCAACATCATAATCAACAACATCATAATCATCACCAACATCATCATCATCATCAACATCATCATCAACAACATCATCAACATCATCATCAACATCATCATCATCAACATCATCAACATCATCATAATCAACATCACCAACACCATCATCATCATCATCAGCAGCAACATCATCAACATCATCATCAACATCATCATCATCATCAACACCATCAACATCATCAACATTATCATCAACAACATCATCAACATCATCATCAACATCATCATCAACATCATCAACATCACCAACATCACCAACATCATCATCAACATCATCATCATCAACATCATCAATATCAACATCATCATCAACATCATCATCATCAGCAACATCATCATCAACATCATCAACATCATCATCAACAACATCATCAACGTCATCAACATCATCATCAACATCATCAACATCATCACAACAACATCAACATCATCATAATCAACAACATCAACATCATAATCAACAACATCATAATCATCACCAACATCATCATCATCAACATCATCAGCAACATTATCATCACAAACATCACCAACATCAGCAACAACATCACCAACATCAACATCATCAACATCAACATCATCAACATCATCAACAACATCATCATCATCAACATCATCATAATCAACAACATCATCATCATCATAATCAACATCAACAACATCATCATCATCAACATCATCATCAACATCATCATCAACATCAACCTCATCATCATCAACAACATCATCATCAACAACATCATCATCAACATAATCATAATCAACATCATCATCAGCATCATCATCAGCAGGCAAGCGATAGTTCGTCAGCAGCAGTAGCAGCAGCACCTTTATGGAGACTCTGTCTCCACTCCGGATCTCCTTGTCCCCGTGTCTCCAGGAGACACGTGTCCCCACGCGCGTTGTCTCCGCACTGAACTCCGCTTGATGTCCCAGGGGCACGGAGACATTCTGCGGAGACTGAGACAGCGGAGACACTGGGGGGGGGGGGGGGGGGGAGGGAGACACGGGGGGGGACACGGGGGGGGGGGAGACACGGTGAGGTGAGGTGGAGACACGGAGGGGAGGGAGGGAGACACGGTGAGGTGAGGTGGAGACACCGGGGGACACGGGGAGACACGGTGAGGTGAGGTGGAGACACGGGGGGGGAGGGAGGGAGACACGGGGGGGGGGGAGGGAGACACGGGGGGACACGGAGAGACACGGTGAGGTGAGGTGGAGACACGGGGGGGGGGTGGGTGGGAGACACGGGGGGGGGGGGGATGGAGACACGGGGGGTAGGAGTGAGAGAGTGAGTGAGTGAGAGGGTGAGTGAGTGAGAGGGTGAGTGAGTGAGTGGGTGAGTGAGAGAGTGAGTGAGTGAGAGAGTGAGTGAGTGAGTGAGAGGGTGAGTGAGTGAGAGGGTGAGTGAGTGAGTGGGTGAGTGAGTGAGAGGGTGAGAGAGTGAGAGAGAGAGTGAGGGAGAGAGTGATTGAGAGAGAGAGTGAGTGAGTGGGTGAGAGAGTGAGGGTGAGTGAGTGAGTCAGTGAGTGAGTGAGTCAGTGAGTGAGTGGGTGAGTGAGTGAGAGAGTGAGTGAGTGAGTTAGAGAGTGAGTGAGAGAGTGAGTGGGTGAGTGAGAGAGTGAGTGAGTGAGTTAGAGAGTGAGTGAGTGGGTGAGAGAGTGAGTGAGTGGGTGAGTGAGAGAGTGAGTGGGTGAGTGAGAGAGTGAGTGGGTGAGTGAGTCAGTGAGTGGATGAGTGAGTGAGTGAGTGGGTGAGTGAGTGAGTGAGAGAGTGAGTGAGAGGGTGAGTGAGAGAGTGAGTGAGTGAGAGAGTGAGTGAGTGAGAGAGTGAGTGAGTGAGAGGGTGAGTGAGTGAGTGGGTGAGTGAGTGAGAGGGTGAGTGAGTGAGAGGGTGAGTGAGTGAGTGGGTGAGTGAGTGAGAGGGTGAGAGAGTGAGTGAGAGAGTGAGTGAGAGGGTGAGTGAGAGAGTGAGTGAGTGAGAGAGTGAGTGAGTGAGAGAGTGAGTGAGTGAGAGGGTGAGTGAGTGAGTGGGTGAGTGAGTGAGAGGGTGAGTGAGTGAGAGGGTGAGTGAGTGAGTGGGTGAGTGAGTGAGAGGGTGAGAGAGTGAGAGAGAGAGTGAGGGAGGGAGTGATTGAGAGAGAGAGTGAGTGAGTGGGTGAGAGAGTGAGGGTGAGTGAGTGAGTCAGTGAGTGAGTGAGTCAGTGAGTGAGTGGGTGAGTGAGTGAGAGAGTGAGTGAGTGAGTTAGAGAGTGAGTGAGAGAGTGAGTGGGTGAGTGAGAGAGTGAGTGAGTGAGTGAGTTAGAGAGTGAGTGAGTGGGTGAGAGAGTGAGTGAGTGGGTGAGTGAGAGAGTGAGTGGGTGAGTGAGAGAGTGAGTGGGTGAGTGAGTCAGTGAGTGGATGAGTGAGTGAGTGAGTCAGTGAGTGGATGAGTGAGTGAGTGAGTGGGTGAGTGAGTGAGTGAGAGAGTGAGGGAGAGAGTGATTGAGAGAGAGAGTGAGTGAGTGGGTGAGAGTGTGAGGGTGAGTGAGTGAGTCAGTGAGTGAGTGAGTCAGTGAGTGAGTGAGTGAGTTAGAGAGTGAGTGAGTGGGTGAGAGAGTGAGTGAGTGGGTGAGTGAGAGAGTGAGTGGGTGAGTGAGAGAGTGAGTGGGTGAGTGAGTCAGTGAGTGGATGAGTGAGTGAGTGAGTCAGTGAGTGGATGAGTGAGTGAGTGGGTGAGTGAGTGAGTGAGAGAGTGAGGGAGAGAGTGATTGAGAGAGAGAGAGTGAGTGAGTGGGTGAGAGAGTGAGGGTGAGTGAGTGAGTCAGTGAGTGAGTGAGTCAGTGAGTGAGTGGGTGAGTGAGTGAGAGAGTGAGTGAGTGAGTGAGTTAGAGAGTGAGTGAGAGAGTGAGTGGGTGAGTGAGAGAGTGAGTGAGTGAGTGAGTTAGAGAGTGAGTGAGTGGGTGAGAGAGTGAGTGAGTGGGTGAGTGAGAGAGTGAGTGGGTGAGTGAGAGAGTGAGTGGGTGAGTGAGTCAGTGAGTGGATGAGTGAGTGAGTGAGTGGGTGAGTGAGTGAGTGAGAGAGTGAGTGAGAGGGTGAGTGAGAGGGTGAGTGAGTGAGAGAGTGAGTGAGTGAGAGAGTGAGTGAGTGAGAGGGTGAGTGAGTGAGTGGGTGAGTGAGTGAGAGGGTGAGTGAGTGAGAGGGTGAGTGAGTGAGTGGGTGAGTGAGTGAGAGGGTGAGAGAGTGAGTGAGAGAGTGAGTGAGAGGGTGAGTGAGAGAGTGAGTGAGTGAGAGAGTGAGTGAGTGAGAGAGTGAGTGAGTGAGAGGGTGAGTGAGTGAGTGGGTGAGTGAGTGAGAGGGTGAGTGAGTGAGAGGGTGAGTGAGTGAGTGGGTGAGTGAGTGAGAGGGTGAGAGAGTGAGAGAGAGAGTGAGGGAGGGAGTGAGTGAGAGAGAGAGTGAGTGAGTGGGTGAGAGAGTGAGGGTGAGTGAGTGAGTCAGTGAGTGAGTGAGTCAGTGAGTGAGTGGGTGAGTGAGTGAGAGAGTGAGTGAGTGTGTGAGAGAGTGAGTGGGTGAGTGAGTGGGTGAGTGAGAGAGTGAGTGAGTGAGTGAGTTAGAGAGTGAGTGAGTGGGTGAGAGAGTGAGTGAGTGGGTGAGTGAGAGAGTGAGTGGGTGAGTGAGAGAGTGAGTGGGTGAGTGAGTCAGTGAGTGGATGAGTGAGTGAGTGAGTCAGTGAGTGGATGAGTGAGTGAGTGAGTGGGTGAGTGAGTGAGTGAGAGAGTGAGGGAGAGAGTGATTGAGAGAGAGAGTGAGTGAGTGGGTGAGAGTGTGAGGGTGAGTGAGTGAGTCAGTGAGTGAGTGAGTCAGTGAGTGAGTGAGTGAGTTAGAGAGTGAGTGAGTGGGTGAGAGAGTGAGTGAGTGGGTGAGAGAGTGAGTGAGTGGGTGAGTGAGTGAGAGAGTGAGTGGGTGAGTGAGAGAGTGAGTGGGTGAGTGAGTCAGTGAGTGGATGAGTGAGTGAGTGAGTCAGTGAGTGGATGAGTGAGTGAGTGGGTGAGTGAGTGAGTGAGAGAGTGAGGGAGAGAGTGATTGAGAGAGAGAGAGTGAGTGAGTGGGTGAGAGAGTGAGGGTGAGTGAGTGAGTCAGTGAGTGAGTGAGTCAGTGAGTGAGTGGGTGAGTGAGTGAGAGCGTGAGTGAGTGAGTGAGTTAGAGAGTGAGTGAGAGAGTGAGTGGGTGAGTGAGAGAGTGAGTGAGTGAGTGAGTTAGAGAGTGAGTGAGTGGGTGAGAGAGTGAGTGAGTGGGTGAGTGAGAGAGTGAGTGGGTGAGTGAGAGAGTGAGTGGGTGAGTGAGTCAGTGAGTGGATGAGTGAGTGAGTGAGTCAGTGAGTGGATGAGTGAGTGAGTGAGTGGGTGAGTGAGTGAGTGAGAGAGTGAGGGAGAGAGTGATTGAGAGAGAGAGTGAGTGAGTGGGTGAGAGAGTGAGGGTGAGTGAGTGAGTCAGTGAGTGAGTGAGTCAGTGAGTGAGTGGGTGAGTGAGTGAGAGAGTGAGTGAGTGAGTGAGTTAGAGAGTGAGTGAGAGAGTGAGTGGGTGAGTGAGAGAGTGAGTGAGTGAGTGAGTTAGAGAGTGAGTGAGTGGGTGAGAGAGTGAGTGAGTGGGTGAGTGAGAGAGTGAGTGGGTGAGTGAGAGAGTGAGTGGGTGAGTGAGTCAGTGAGTGGATGAGTGAGTGAGTGAGTCAGTGAGTGGATGAGTGAGTGAGTGAGTGGGTGAGTGAGTGAGTGAGAGAGTGAGGGAGTGAGTGATTGAGAGAGAGAGTGAGTGAGTGGGTGAGAGAGTGAGGGTGAGTGAGTGAGTCAGTGAGCGAGTGAGTCAGTGAGTGAGTGGGCGAGTGAGTGAGAGAGTGAGTGAGTGAGTTAGAGAGTGAGTGAGTGAGAGAGTGAGTGGGTGAGTGAGAGAGTGAGTGAGTGAGTGAGTTAGAGAGTGAGTGAGTGGGTGAGAGAGTGAGTGAGTGGGTGAGTGAGTCAGTGAGTGGATGAGTGAGTGAGTGAGTCAGTGAGTGGATGAGTGAGTGAGTGAGTGGGTGAATGAGTGAGAGAGTGAGTGAGTGGGTGAGTGAGTGAGAGAGTGAGTGGGTGAGAGAGTGAGTGAGTGAGAGAGTGAGTGAGAGAGTGGGTGAGTGAGAGCGTGAGAGAGTGAGTGAGAGAGTGAGGGAGAGAGTGAGTGAGAGAGTGAGTGGGTGAGAGAGTGAATGAGTGAGAGGGTGAGTGGGAGAGTTAGTGAGTGAGAGAGTGAGGGAGTGAGAGAGTGAGGGAGAGGGTGAGTGAGAGAGTGAGTGGGTGAGAGAGTGAATGAGTGAGAGGGTGAGTGGGAGCGTGAGTGAGTGAGAGAGTGAGTGAGTGGGTGGGTGAGTGAGTGAGTGAGAGGGTGAGAGCGTGAGTGAGAGAGTGAGTGAGAGAGTGAGGGAGAGAGTGATTGAGAGAGAGTGAGTGAGTGGGTGAGTCAGTGAGTGAGTGAGTCAGTGAGTGAGTGGGTGAGTGAGTTAGAGAGTGAGTGAGTGGGTGAGTGAGAGAGTGAGTGAGTGAGTGAGAGGGTGAGTGAGTGAGTGAGTTAGAGAGTGAGTGAGTGAGAGAGTGAGTGGGTGAGTGAGTGAGTTAGAGAGTGAGTGAGTGGGTGAGAGAGTGAGTGAGTGGGTGAGTGAGAGAGTGAGTGGGTGAGTGAGAGAGTGAGTGGGTGAGTGAGTCAGTGAGTGGATGAGTGAGTGAGTGAGTCAGTGAGTGGATGAGTGAGTGAGTGAGTGGGTGAGTGAGTGAGTGAGAGAGTGAGTGAGTGGGTGAGTGAGTGAGAGAGTGAGTGGGTGAGAGAGTGAGTGAGAGAGTGAGTGAGAGAGTGGGTGAGTGAGAGCGTGAGAGAGTGAGTGAGAGAGTGAGGGAGCGAGTGAGTGAGAGAGTGAGTGGGTGAGAGAGTGAATGAGTGAGAGGGTGAGTGGGAGAGTGAGTGAGTGAGAGAGT